ACGAATGGCATACCCCTACGAGGAACGCGGACACACATTCCGGCACACCTAAAAAACAAGGTTGTGAAGCTGGGCCCACGAAGGCCACCAAGGACACAGCCAAAACTAAAGCTGCCTGGGTTCCCCCTAATATGGACAAGGCCGTCAGGGCGAATGAAATTGAAGCCTGGCTCACCATCAAGTAAAATGATCAACCAGCCCACCAGAACCATTAGCAAGTCCAGAAATGCCAGAGGCCCTCTTGGCAAACCATCCATGACTTCTATGGTCCGCTCCCTACTGGACAATATATCATCGTGCTGATCGATAAGTATTCGCGATACCCAGAAGCAGAAATAATCTCAAGTACCTCCGCCAAAGCACTGATCCCTAAAATAGATGCTATTTTGCACGGCATGGAGTCCCATTAAAGTTCAAATCTGACAACGGTCCACCGTTCAACAGTAAGAATTCTCCAAATATCTACATAAACTTGGGGTGAAGCACGAGACATCAATCCCGGAGTGGCTGCAAGGAAACTCAGAGGCCGAGGCATTCATGAAGCCTTTAGCTAGCGATCAAAACAGCCCGTGCGGAACATCGCAATTGGACACAAGAACTTTCAAGATTCTTACTCAGCTATCGCACTACGCCTCATTGTTCAACCAATGTCCCACCAGCTCAACTACTATTTAACCGACCATTGAGAGGTATCCTACCAATGCTAAATCGTGGCACCGGTAAAAGTGACAATGACATGTATATATATAGGAATGAGAAATGTTGTTGACAGACAGATATTAGAGAGCACAATAGATAGATACCAAAGGAAAAAAGATAAATTCAAAACATTACAGCTACCATACAGAACATTACGAGACGAGCACAATACCTTGAACGAAATCATCGAACGATTTCTCACCACGAAAATAAAATGAAACAAACACACAAAGAATGACACCATAAACACAGCATTCGGAAATAGCAGCCAACAAACAGAATTGACCATTAATCAAATGACAATGAAAGAACGAAAACATACGTCCAAGTTTACGTGAACTATAATGATAATCTCACGTTATATCTGATGGTCATAAACATACGTCACATAAACCGAAAACAACCTGACGAGCAACAAGGCGAAGTTTACAAAAAATACCCCCGACTAGCTAGGCCACCTACCGCATACACTAAAGATAAACAATCTACAAAACAAAGATATAACCAAATGGCTCAACATCACCAACGAACAAAATATAATATTTCCTCACATACCGGTGCATGCATAATTTGCAAAAGGTAGTAAACGACTAGTGCACAGATCTACGATTTGTTATGCATGCACCATACAGAATATTACATATTGCCTTTATGTATGCTAAAATTTGTCTTACCAACACAGCAAAACCGTTGAATCGATCAAACATTTATACAAATGTCACAATCTCAAACAAACGAGCAAATAATAAGTACACACTTAAAAATAAACGGAAAATAGGGTGTTTACATGAATCCGAATGATCTTCAATCCCGATCGAAACGTGATCAGTGGCGTGCGGTCATGCGTAGGCAAGCGCCGCTTGCCTAAGCATTTTACCGAACAAAAATTTTTTGGATCAATCTCTGAGCAAAATCAGTTTAAATTTTTCTGTTCTAAACAATGTCAATGTAATCTTTTGTCTAAATTGTCTTTACAGTTGAAATGCTTGCTATTTATACGCGATTTACTGTCGTGGTTTTCGGTTTCACTTTGCTACACTTGTAAGATGAGTCAAGTGTATTAAATTAAGTGGATTAAATTAATTATTTATTAACCAAGGCAAGCGCGCTTGCCTTCGAGCTCAATTTGAACATTTGCATGCGTTAATCTAGATTTGGAGGCTTCTTATTCGAGGAATATCGAGAAAGGCAAGCGGCGCTTCTACGCCGCTTGATAGCGATTGGTCAACAGTCTTGTACGCTCGCAATTTTAAACACATATCAGCGCACGAATAATATTCGTATATTCAACACATTGGACATCCGAATTATTCACGCCGTTAATGTTATCGTTTATTAAAAGATGACTGAGAGCGAAAGGTAATGTTCTGATTTCTAATTCAAAGTAGTAGAGATTTCTAATTTATGTATGTAGAAGATATTATCTGTAGCATGTTATACTTTAGCGTTATATAAGTCTTGCGTATGAGCTCTGAACGTGATTTCAATGTACTAGAACGCTATTAAATTTGTGATTATTTTATTCACTAGCAAAGAAGTTATTTACAACAGTCGTGAGTATTCTATATGTTAGAATTTATTTACAGGCTTTTATATATTTTGATAAACAAGGTGCAGTTATTACACAGCGGATAATGTACTTGAAATTTGAGTAGTTTTACGTAATTATAAAGTTAAGTGCGTAAGTTTAAGTGCGCGTTTGAGTAAGTAGGATTGGCTATTTCTCTATTGCTAATACATGAATCTAGATGAGTAATGTACGCACGTTATGTACGTCACTACAAGATATCATGTAACTGATGTAAGGTATAAATAAGATTGATGTTCCTATAAAATATATAGCATAGGAATTTTCATCCTTTTATGTTCTACTTCTACAATTCGGTATTTTCACGACACCTGTACAACATGACTGAATGCATTGTGGAATCACTGTTATCCCGCTCATTTGGATTGAGACCTTTTTCCGAGAAACGAGAGATCGTCGAAGGTGGCCGTCCCACTCCTGAGTTGCAAGGACTACATACAACATCCAAGCGAAGTGGTAAAGTCTTTATTCGAAGTTTTCAGACGTCAAATTACGACAAGTACAAATGGCTGGCTGGCTCCTCAAAATTGAATAAGTTATTTTGCTGGCCGTGTCTTTTGTTCAACTCAACAGACAAGACAGTCTGGTGCAAGAAGGGATACGATGATTTGGCCAACCTGTGTAATGCCGTCAACAGACACGAGAAAACGAAGACACACTTGTCCAGTTGCCTAATGAATGCCAGTTTTGGGCGTACACGCATCGACATGCAGCTAGACGAACAGGCCCGTCAACACATCTCAGCTCACAACTTGATGGTGCACAAGAATAGAGAAGTACTTCGCCGTTTCATTGATGTTGTTTGCTTTCTTGGCAAACAGGAACTTTCTTTCAGAGGTCGGGTGGAGCTGGAGGAGTCTGCCAACAGGGCAATTACGTCGAATTGATAAAACTGCTAAGTGCATATGACCCCACGCTTGAACAGCATCTTCATACAGCAACCGTGTTTTCTGGACTTTCTAATCGTATCCAGAACGATTTGATTGTTGCTGTCAAGGACGTTATGTTGAAAGCAATAAAAGATGAAGTGATGAGGAGCCCATTTGTCGCTATTTCCCTGGATGAAACCTCCGACGTTAAGACCTTATCGCAGCTAACAACTATAGTTCGCTATGTCAACCCAGATGGTAAAGCTGTGGAGCGCTTTCTTGGATTTACCGATGTAAGTGAGGATAGAACTGCGGCTAGACTGAAACAAGAAGTCGGTAAAACCCTGAACGAGTACGGATGCGGCGAAAACTGATTGCCCAAACGTATGACGGTGCGAGTGTGTCAGGAGAACTGTCCGGTTTGCAAACACGAGTAAGAGAAGACTATCCACATGCTCTTTTTATCCACTGTTGCGGACACGCATTAAATTTGGTCCTTGTTCAAGCTGTCTCGTCAACTAAAGAGTGTCGTATATTTTTTAAAACCGTCACTGGTCTTTCATCCTTTTTTCACGCCTCGTCCAAGAGAACATACCTGTTGGACACAGTTGTCGGCAGACGCATTCCCACTGGAACAGCTGTTCGATGGCACTATCAGAGCAGGTTAATCCATGCTGTACTGGAGACAAGAGCAAAGCTGCTCGAAGTTTTCGAATACATCATCGAAAATGATGACGAGTTTGACGGTACGACGTTAAACGAAGCGAGGGGCTACCGACAAGTTCTTGCAGATTTCCAGTTTGTGTTCTGCCTTAAAATATTTTCAGAAATATTTGGTCTTACGGATGTTTTGTATAATATCATTCAGAGTAAGCAGTTCGATATTGTCTTCTGTGTCACGAAAGTTCGCGAGACGAAAGATAAGATTCAAGAACAACGAACAAAATTCGTAGATTATCAAGTATCGTCAAAGTAGCACTGAAACGCGGGCAAAGTGAAGAGGATGTAAAGGCGTCCTTCCGTCAAATGTTTTTCTGTGTAGTCGATACCATTGTCGTGCAGATTGACTCTAGATTCGAAAGTCTTAACAGCAGAGCATTCGTTTCTTTGTTGGATCATTCAAAGCACGAATTGTACAGCCGGAATTTTCCCGAACGAAAGCTGCAATCGTTGCAAGATTCATATGGAACATTCTTTAATCTTCAAGCACTAAAAGTGAACTAATCGTTGTATACGCATCTGCCGAGCTCAAATCGAAACCTGTTTTGATATGATATCAAAATAATCGAACTTGACTTGAAAGCCTGTTTTCCAGAGGTGTACCGATTGTGTCAGCTCATTGTTACTATGCCAAGTACGTCCTCCTCTGCAGAAAGATCATTTTCGGCTCTCAAGCGTATCAAAACGTATCTTCGCAGTACACAAGGGCAAGAGCGACTTTCTGCATTGGCTACAATTTCAATCGAGAAGGAGATGTTGGTAAGTTTGCAGGGAAGCCACGATTCTATGAGGACGTTATAAAGGAGTTTTGCGCAAAGGAAAGACGGATGGAATTTACATTTAAGTAAATCTGTTGTAGGATTTTGGACTATTTCGTTCTGTTACTTCACTACAATAGCCATTTACTTAAAACGACTTTATATCACAATACCACATGTAATACTTTTAAACCGTAATTGTGATATATACTCTATAAAAGTTTTTGAACTTTTTAGATTTTTTCAATACTGTTTCAGTCATGACAGATACATTTTTTCGACAAAGTACTCCCAGAAATCGCGTGAAACGCGCTCCAGTAGCCTTCAAAATCAAAAATTTTCTGGGGAGCATGCCCCCAGAACCCCTAGATAGCTTCGCGGCATGCCGCGAACCTCACCCCCAGCGCTTGCCTATTAAATTCGGTCACCGCACGCCACTGTTCTAGTGATGAAAGTTATGGTACTTGGGGATCTTTTAATGGCTGAGGATACGACTACTTGTGATGCCATCAATACCTGTCATGCAATAATATAATCAATAAAGCACTGGATATGTAAACATCTAGTTGTAGTAATCGTTCTTATTAAAAATCGCAAGTAGTTACAAAAAACGTCATCAATCATTTTGTTCTAATATATTACTTTCCAAATATAATACATTCATCAATAAATGATTTTGTTGCGCATGTAAGCTGTCCATGTAAGCGTAAAACATTTGACTGAGTTCAAATTTAAAGTTCTTGCAGGTACGTAGCACTTTTATGGAAATTTTTGAGATCATTTTTAAAGGTTTAGCATGCACTGATTGTGGTCCCGTGTTGTCTGAAAAATTTTTTCTTTTTCCTCTTTCCGCAGATAAAACCTCTTAGGGATGAGAGTTGAGATTTGTGGAACTCTAGTTGTAACTGGGAGTGGAGATAGTTTTTCACCAAGGAAGGCTCTCTGTTGATACCACCGTTATATTGGGCATGATTGTACGCTTTATTTTTTACAAATCAACAAAAGGGGGATTGTTGCGTTTCCCGTAATCTGATTGGCAGCAGAAGTGCACGGGTGGAATTTTACGATATCTGACCAAAGGGTTCATTTGTTTCGTTTGCTTTTTCATTTTACCATGGAAAGTACAGCATTTGCAGATCAATTAAGTAGAAAATGAAAATCATTGAAATGAAGGCAATTCAAATGACGCGTTAAGTCAATAGCGGCTACTGAAATACAACTGAAGCAATAGATGGTTTACGAGCTCATTTTCTTCTTTATGAAATAAAAGGAAACAATTCTCTTGAAAATAGTCCTCTCAAGATTTAAAATGCACAAATGAATTTTGAGGAGTGGTGCAGAGAGGCGCACATTTCCTACAAAATACTTCATACATACTAAACAATTAAGTAAAAATCATATATTCATTGGTGTTATGGAGCGGACTTCCGACAATCTCCCCACCATGATTAAAACAAAACTTTAGCTAGCACCTAAATTCGTTGATGCAGCATGAGTAGTACATACTTAACCATACCATACTTGATATTTCATCCAGAATATATTTCAACTTGTTAGGCATACCATTCATGCTGTGATAATTAACTTTTCCTGCAGATCAGTACCATAATTCGCCTTTTTAAAGCTAGTACTCGGCAACGCTTGCTGGTCGTCATGTTCAGTGGGAGCGGCGTTTGTTTGAAGAATCAATGGCTGATAATGCTGGTCAATTACTGCTACGTAGTCCAAGTTCTCTGGTGAATGTTCTGATTTACCTTCATCGTCTTTATTTTGTGTCGGAAGCTTTGGGAGAGGAACGTCCTGTTTATGAATGATTTCATAACGCTCTTCATCACTAAAATTTGAAGGAATTTTGCCGATGACATCGCCTGGCTCTTCGTATATTTGATCTCCATTGTCATGCTCAACTTTTGCCTCAAGCTCAACTACCTGATGTTGTTCCTTTTCTAGAAAAGAGTTTGTTAGGAGTTTAACAAAGACATGCAGTCCATGGAAAAAAGACATTCTGCAAAATACAAAGAATTATTATGAAATCTATGTATAATTTTCTGAACAAGTATTCAAACCACAAATATAGTGGAGAATATTCAAAAATAAACCAAAAGGCTACATTAACATATGTTACAAGTCCTTCAACCCTAATACAAAAAATAAGTACTTTATACTAAAGCTTTAAACACTTTCGCGCATACGACAAACGGATTCCTTGTAAGAATTACGTTGTAAAAAAATTAATATCGTATTTTGTTTTAATTTACAAAAGCAAACAACAAGAAAAATGATGACAAAAACACGACACAATCATTAACCTAAATTAACTAATGCTAAAAACTCTTTGATCCCTTCAAAATATAATTATATAATTTATACTGACACTTCTTTGTTTTAACACTTTATCCCACAAACATAACCTTTTATAAGAATTTTATGATAACAAAATGAGTAGCTTACTTTTTTTTGATTTACAGAACCCAGCAACGGCAATAACAAGATTAACAAAAGCAAAAACAGCAGATATTCCAGCTGCAACACCTCTGATTGTTAACACAACAAGTGAAGGTTGGAAATCTAAATAAAATAATGAAGTTATCATTGTATTGTCTTTATTAACTTTTCACTATTACAAAGGGTTTGTTCCCTTTAAATGTTTCAAAAAAAAATTAAAATTTCCTCGCACTGCTTTCTGACAAAACAAATAACTTTGCTGCACTATAACTTTGTTTCATATGCTTATTTGAAAACATATATAGTTTTAGTTTATAGAAAATGCGCGTGAACGACAAATTTGACAATTTCTCTTAATGTAATAAAATATATAAATATTGTTAGTCGATGACATCATTGTAGTGATGTTATCGATGACATTGCTGCGACAAAAAATCTTCTTGGACGCGCACAGTGGACTTCATTTATCAAAATAAAGCAGATTAATGAACATCATTTAAATAACCTTTTACACTTAATATTTTTACATTAAACATATTCGAGATTTGATAGTAAGTTTTAGCCTCACAGTTCGGTCATATCACCCTGTAAGTATCAAACCTTTTTCAACATTTGCCGCATGATTGTGAAATTTCAACGCCGGGGTTGAAAATGCTTCCTGTAATCAGGCCCTTAAAATAATTTTTAGATACTAACAATAAAATCTTCTTGTACACGAGAGTCCATTTCCAGTGTATCCATGGTTACATTGACATTCATAAGAACCTTCGTTATCAGTGCAGTTTGCATTGACATCACAAGGAACATTCAAACATTCATTGATATCTTAAACAAAAAACAAACCATTTGTTAGGCAAGTTAAAACTATTGCTACATCAACGGTATGTATGTCTTACTCGTGCAAGAGAGCCCATTTCCAGTGTATCCTTCGTTACATTGACATTCATAAGAACCTTCGTTATCAGTGCAGTTTGCATTGACATGACAAGGGTCGGACAAGCATTTATTAATATCTTCAATAAAAGATCAACATTAAATACAAATTATTAATTTGTTGTTTTATTAAAAGCCACCGCTTCTTATTTGTACAACACAACGCTGATTACATAACGTTGAAACAAGAAAAATTATAAAAATCTCTAAAATTCTAAATGTGTTTGTTTTACGTGATGCTTTCAGAGTAGACAGAATCGCAAAAAGTTTAGAAAACGTAAAATCATTGATAATTTCAGTACTTACATTTTTCACAAATATAATTGTTACGGCTTGTGCATGAAATGTCATTCCACTTGCTTTGCACAGAGAATTGAACACAATCCTCACTGCCACCTGCGTTGTTAGGTTCATTAGTATCCCAATTTATGAAAGTAGGTGCTACATTATGGACTGTATAAAATTTACTGTCGCTTTTATTGCGAAACAAACCAATAAAAGGTAATGTAGGCATTTTTGATAGTGAAAATTCGTAAATGGCGTCATTTTCAGCTTTATTTTTTGGAACAGGAAGATCTCCCCCTTTCTTTTGACAATTTTTTCTTGCTTCATGCCAGGTTTCTTGCGTTGTATTGAAGAAATAGCAAGATGACTGTAGCTTCATCCAGCCTGACGGACAACTACTGACTTTGTTAACTAAGACGAACAAGATACCAACTATATCAACAATATAGACTTTGTAGCAGAGCTTGACAGCCCCCCCCCTCTTCAGAATCTCTTACTTTGTAAAGTGTAAAAGTATAAAAATCCACTTTAACAAATACTTATATTTGATAAGAATGGATATTTTTATGGAGACTATTTCTAGTCTCACTTATGTTCTACTTTCATTTTTTAGTTGGAGGTAGATTGATCAATTATAGTACGTTCAGACTGAGTGCTGGAGTACGATACCCTTGTTCGGACAAAAATCTGCAGGCCGTTCACACTACGTAGTACCCACCAGCTTCCTCTATTTATAATTTCATGTTTTTCATTGTAAACAAGTTTTGAAACCATGTGCTGAATACGTGCTTCTTTGTACATGTTACTCAGGTGTCGTCGTTCACATAGGTGCCCTTGCTCGAGCACCGTACTAGGGTACTACCTCTTTTCGTGGTGCCCAGACCTGGTCACTTATACACGGCCACCATCAAAATGTTGTGCTCACATTGGTGCCCGTGCCTGAGTACCGTCTCAGGGGACTCGGTCTGAACGCACTATAATAAACTTTACAAACGAAATAAAACAAACTTTGTATATTGAATGATTACTGATAACTGTTAAAAAGCAGCTTTGCTATACTGGGAACAACAATCCGATTCTGTAACCTTCTTCCCCCTCCCCCATTTTCTAACCTCTCCTTGGCCCCTACATGATGATATCTGCATTATTAAGTAAAATATTTGATAATTTCATACCTTGTAAATTGAACACGGACATCATCAGAAGAAATGTCAATTGAAACATTTTCAAGCCACGATGATTTTCAATGATACAGTTTGAAATCTGTCGACAATATCAAACATATTACATAATTACACGCGGAACAGCAACGGACTCACACTTTCCTGGCAGTAGCTGAAATTGTCATGCAAGCCCCACTATCTATACCTATATCAATATCAATACCACCTTTTTGTTTCGGTATACGTAAATGATATAATCACAGAACTCATGTAGACATGATTGTTTCTTTCTCGCTCACGGCAAACAGAACAGTCACATATACAATTTACCAAAGACGTCGAGGGAAACTGAGCTCCTTCTTACAAACTACAAAACACACTCCACCAAGAACCAACACATGTGGACCTAATACTCGAGTAATCATCTTAACAAATCTACATCATACAAAGCTACCATATTGAACATTACGAGACGAGCACAATACCTTTGAACGAAATCATCGAACGATTTTCACCACGAAAATAAATGAAACAAACACAAAGAATGACACCATAAACACAGCATTCGGAAATAATAGCAGTCAACAAACAGAATTGGACCATTAATCAAATGACAATGAAAGCAACGATAACGTACGTCCAAGCTAGGTGAACTATGTCTGAGAGAATCTCACGTATATATGATGGTCATAAAAAGAACATACGTGTCACACATAAACGGAAAACAACCAGACGAGCAACAAGGCGAAGTTTACAAAATAAAGTACCCCCGACTATAGCTAGGCCACCCACGACACACTAAAGATAAACAATCTACAAATACAAAAGATATAACAACCAAATGGCTCAACATCACCAACGAACAAAATATAATATTTCCTACAACACATAACCGGTGCATGCATAACGGTGCTGTAGCAACGACTAAAGTGTACAGACTACGATTTATTACATGTACTATACAGAATATTATACATACGTTTTATGTATTAGAAATTTGTCTTACCAGCATAGCAAAACCGTTGAATCGATGAAAACATTTATACAAACGTCACAATCTCAAACAAACGAGCAAATAATAAGTACACACTTGAAAATAAACGGAAAATAAGGGGTGTTTACATGAATCCGGAATGACTTTCAATCACGATGATTTCAATCACGTGATGTCAACCGTGTTTACATGAAACTAGTTGTTGTTTTTTTTTCGCACTCATTTTAACCCATTTAGCCTCTTTATTTGCTTACGAGCTTCAATTTGCCAGAAGACAATACCCATGGCACATGTGTGCTTCGTCATTAATCACAATATCATTCCAGAATGAAACTCAATTCGCGTTTACATGAGATAAAAAGTAAATTTCGATCCGGAATGAAACTAGGAATGAACTCGATCCGGATCGAGTTGTGACTCATTCCGGATTCATGTAAACATGCAATAGGATTTCTTTTAAAGTGGAATGACTTCATTCCGGATCGAAACTCATTCCGGATTCATGTAAAAACCCCCATAGACAACAACCAGAACATCGGACACCCACATATTTCCTGTAAATACAATATTATGACCTTAAACCATACGAAAAAAACATGAAATACGGCGAAACCTGACGTTTATGAAATGATTATCGCTACATTTCGTTCAAGTTAAATCAGTTGTGCGACTGTGAAACCTTTCCTGTTAAAGTGCTACTGAAGTAAAATTTTCATATTTCGTTTTTCAATACAAACGTTTTCTCTGTATTATACTGATCATTTTGAGCTATCGCCCACTGAATTCAGTCGATGGGAACGCATCGAACTTTGCGTTCAAACATGGCATATTTGCTTGTTTTGATGCGAATTTGACTTTGAGTACGTGACGTCGTTTAAAGGACGGAAGTTCAATTTTAAAGCTCTTAGTATATAAAAATTATATACGAACAAGCATATTTCCAACTGGAATTTTACATATTTTATAACTTCTCTTAAAAAAATTGCGTATATTTAGTGACAAATGAGCAACACGCATAGGTAAGCAACATTTACAATCGATTAGAGTTTTATAAACTTCTTGAATTAACTTATATTTCTCAATAAACTGGGTGCCGCATCCTTGACGAAGTCTGCGGTTTTAACACTCACGCAATGTTATCAGAAACTAACTGTAACGCGCTTATTTCCAATCATCCAGTGTATACTACTTTTATAAACTTCTGGATTAGACTTATCATTCTTATCATATGGGTGTCGCATCCTTGACGTAGTCTGTGGTTTTAAAACCCATGCAATATTATCACAACGCACATAATATAAGGAGAATAATTTTTTATTAAGTTAGTCAAACGTAACGATACACCGCAAGTTAAAATATGGCGAGTAGGCAAAATTCTGCAAAAAATTGTCGAGGAGGACAATATTGTGTTGCTGGTTGGCCCAAAGGAGAAAGTTGTACAAACAGTCAACACACAGAGGGTGTCTCAGTACATCGTTTCCCCATGAATGACAAGGAGAGGCTGAGTAAATGGACAAAATTTGTTAGGAGACAAAGGCCAAAATTCGTTCCTCAGCAGTACTCTGTGCTATGTTCAATGCATTTCGCAGATTCTGCATTCACCGTGAACGCAACAGTTGCAAAATCGCTAAACATGAGACGACAATTGCGCTCTGATGCTGTTCCAACCATAGACTCTGTAAAAGGTATTTCAGTCCAAGGTGATAAGAGCAATCGCGACCGCAGAGTTGTAAGTACAAAATTATACAAGTTAAATTACACAAGTTTGTATGCACAACCTGGAAATGCATGTAAATGTGTCTTATTATCTTCAACAGGTGTTGCGTGAAGTAACACGAAGTGTAAAAGATGTTGAACCCGCTGTTAAACATACTGATGATGAAGGGAATTCTGACGAGTGTAACATGACAGAATGTCTCGAAGGTTTTCATTCAACATTAAATGGTTGGCATCCAAAGATGACCCACTTTTCTTGGCTTGGTACATATTGCAGGTAACTTGTAATCACTGTTTTCTATCTGCCAAGGCTTTTTTACTTGTTCCTAGTCAAGAAAAAAAATTACATATTAAATGGTTTGTTCTGTTTAGGCACGTACTGGCAGTACTTCATTTCAATGAAAACCTTCACAGACAGCCAAAAAAAACAAAAAATGGAACACCATATTATTCTGTGACATACCCAAAATTTAAATCAGGGGATGAAGTAGTAAGAACTGTTTCTTCAGCACCATCATATTGTAAGTTTAGCATGTATGCATTGGTACTCTTGACTTACACATCTAACCACTTGTCATTTTTCCAGACTATGTTAATGAAATCAAAAATGTCATGGTTCTTAGTTGTGAGGAATCCATGGACAACATATTTAAGAAGTATAAGGAAAAAGTCCCAGAAGCCTTAAACAAAACGTTCTCGGATCGAATTTCCAAAACTGAGGCAATCCAACGGCATTTGGATAGGAAACAACTATCTTCAACACCATTGTTTCCCACATGTAAGTTGTTCATGCTACCATGTATAATAGGTATGGCCAGTGCATTCTAAAAGTAAACACATTAAATTGTTATTTATAGATCAACAGCAAGATGTACTGCAAGCAAAAGGTTTAGACAAAGAAAAACAAGCTGCTTCAACAGGTCCTTCAGATCCAAAAAAAACGCGCTTATGCAAAAATTGTGGACAGCCAATGAAAGGACATCCAAAAGTCATTGTCCACAAGAATTACTTGACAAATATTCTTAGCAGGCCAACTTTAAAGTTAGTTATAAAATAATATACTATGCTACAAAAATGTTTCCTACTTCTATCAGTTTCTTTCCTGTGCTGACTTGTAGCCAGCATGTTCTTGGCCTAGGGATTTCGTAATGGAAATCGTTTTCGGATGTCTGTGTAGATACTTGCAGGTAATGGTCTAGAATTTTCCCAACCAAGGCATCCACACAGCCATCGAATGACCCAACGGTATGCAACTGCTCTCAAGTATCTATGAGAAATTCAAAATAGTAATTTCTATTTGATTATTTATTTTGACTTCACACAACAAAATTGTGAAGCATCACAGCACAATAATGAACCACATAAAGGTAAAAAGTAGAGATACATGGCAAGATATTAATCATTCGTTACAAAACAAAATTAGAAATCAAAAATGTACTAACTCATTTTCATGTATTCTACAACGCTTGTATGACCTTCCATCTTGGTCTCTTAGAAGTGAGCCAACATTCTTCAAGACTGTAGCATGTGTCATAATCGTGTACACTTCGTGAAGAGTAACACAGCTAATTTTTTTCAATGCTACCATCGAATACCAGTTTATGTAAAGTAGGCCCAACCTCTTGACAACAACGGTATTCAATGGCATCTGTCAGCAGTTGAGTACGACACAAGCTACATGCACACCTATAAAAAAGTGGTTTGTTATCATATTTAACATTATCAATGTTTAAAATATGTCAAATTTTTTATTCCCGATTTTCTTTCATATTTTACCATTGTGTTTCTGCTTTTGTTTTTCAACTAATAAATTTCCTTTTTATTTCAGATATTGACGAATGTAACGCTCTCATCGATCAACAATGTACGGGAACTGGCCAAACCTGAGCTATTTTCCCTGGCGCTTTTTGTTGTAGCTGCAGTAATCCAGGCAACATTTGAACGAAGCAGGAACACAATGTGTCGGTACGAATTATAAAAATACTCATTACTTATTTTTTTCGGTTGAATTTTTGCTGAAAATATGAAAGCACTATTTATTTTTCCACAAAACAATTTACCAACCAAACAATATGTCACAGGTCGCAATATGGGAAACGGTTACGAACGCAACGAATTGAGACTCGTTTGAAGAGATACTGCTGTGTAGTTAAGGATTAATGTGTATATTCTAAACAACTTACATCGACCAAGTCAAAAAAGAACATCATCTTTTATCCTTAATACAATAGTGATGCACTCGTTTTTGAACAATTAGCGATGTAAAAGATCAAAAAAGATGGCCAACATACAAAGACAATCAGTTTCATGCAGGAATAAAGCATTAAATTTATTCGTACCACTAAATAAATCTAAATCAACAGCTAAATATCAACAGTCTTCTTGACTTCTACAAATCCAATTCCAATCCCGAAGGCTTTTTTATCATTTTTGTTTTCTGTATTTATATAAATGACCATTCAAGTATTTAAGGAGAAGAAAGCTTCATAATTGTTCATTATTTTTCCCTATGTAGAAACGGAAACTGCTATTCAAGGTCAGATTCGCATCATAAATAGGGTATTCATATCTGCCTACAATGACATTAGCAGCATTCAGTATTTTCAAATAACCAGAGTCATAATAAATCAGGTAAGACACGTTGATTTACAACATTACTTTTCATGCTTGTACTTTATGTAAATAAATTCAAGGTAGTTATTTTTATGAATTATGCGATTGGTTGATTTTCAGTCTTTTCAGGCAAGCAATTTTATATACCTTAGAACAACAAGGAGTAATTTATTTTTCAACTCTTTATTTTAGCTAATTTCGCTTTATCGGCAAACAACATCACTTCGTAATTTTGTGGAAATCAGAATCATCCGTTTATTGTAAGTGACTAATTAATTATTTTCAGTGAAGAATTTCAGAAAATCTGTTAAATATTTGTTTACTAAACAAAACAAAAAAATTCCTTCAAAAAGTTTCTTAGATTGTAACAAAAAACCCTATTTACCTGAATTTTGTTTGACAGCTTAAACGTGAGATTAACTTTTAATAGATGTAGATCTTCCAGGTAAGTAAAGTCCTGAGAAGAACTGTTGGTGTTGATTTTGACTAACGTTTTACAACTCTAGCGACAGTTATCTTTAGTGTCAAGTGCCGCTAAAGTTGTCGAAACGTCAGTCAACATCAACACGAACAGTCCTTTTCAGAAATCTACTTATCTGCACGATCTACATGTACAAACATTTAATGCTTTTGTTGATATTTTCATAAAAAACAAACACGCATTCTTGAGGGAGATTTTTTATCTGGTTATTTCAATTCGCAGAACAACAATTACGCGTGCTATTATTTAATATTGTTTTTATCGAGCAAAGAAAAAATTGAAGGCTACGGGCAAACTCTATCAACCTGTTAAATCAACTTTCACTCAACAAAGTTTTTAAATGTGTGCAAATACTCTCAACATGTTGAGCATTATAATGATAACACGTAAATCTGCGACGCCTGTCAACTGCGTCGATACAGCTACATATACGGCTCAGTGACCAGCTAAAAATGAAAGCGCATGTTTAGGCAAAAGGTTGAGAGCGTTAGGACGACATAGTTTGAGATATTTTGTTTGCTCGATATAAACAGTATTAAAATTTTCATTTTAAAGGCAACAACAATTGCCCACGAGTAATTCTTGTTTTGCGATAATTGGGCTTCATTATTTAGTTCCATTTTATATTTTTACTCTAGCCAATCGTCCGTTGGAGTTGACTATGTTGTAGCTTTTAACAACACCCTGAACATCACTAATTCTGAAATTCAAGATGAGTTGGTGAACGCGTTGAATAAAACTGAAAATGGAACTTTTCTTGGCGACCTACAACTTAGCACTTCGATCAATACAACTGAATTAAAAAATTCAATAGAAATTAGAGGTAAATATTGTTTGGAGAAATACGTGATATGCTTTTTAAATTTTTAACACGGTTTTCATGTTACTGATGTTAGTTCCGTGCAATACAGCTCTCAATGAATGTCTATTTTTCACATACAAAATTAATGCTTATAATCATAATCTACAGATTACACACTGCCTTTCAATTCGATCATTTTTAGGACAAAGACTGTTAGTAATGGCTCATCATAAAACTGACACGATTAAGTAATCAAACTATCCACGATTACTTTGTAATGGCGTTTTTTCTTCTCGTCGTGACAAAAAATACGAGAACATACCCGTGATATAAACGGTCATACGTATACCACGTGTCAATGAATTATGTAGATTTGAATAATTTGACGGTTGTGATGTATATGGTATAGTGTCAAGAAAGAAATATGGCAGTTGTGACATCAAGTGACATTTTGCGCCATTTCAGGACGTCATTGACGTCATCGTTTTTAAAAGGCTCCATTTTTTACCATCCACATCAAAACGAAACGCATGCGTTTTCAAATCGCTTCACTTTGGAGAGCGTTTTCGAATCGATGCCTTTTCATTCGGCAGTGTATCCGTTTTTTAGCGTTTCAATGTGGGCAGAAGGTCAAAAGGCATCAAAAAGTATGCGTTTATAAACGAAAACGCATTAGTGTGGACAGGGTCATAAGCATAAGGGTGATATTAATGGTCATATAATATTTATAGAAACTAGTTGGCCTCGTTAATTCACATGATTACATTTTTACAAAGGTGCGGGTAATATAATGGTGTCATGAACAGCATACGGCGTATATTGTTCAACGGTGGTGTTATGTATAAAAACATGGGTCTGAAATGCGTGGTTACATGGTCAAAATTGCTACATAGTTTCAATTCGGGCTCAATTTGTGCTTAAATGCCGATAAGCTGTTGCTATTTTAAAATGTGCTTGGCGAAATATTTGAAATTAAGTTGCTTTCATGTAATTAATTTACTGGTTATTTGATGTCAATATTTTTATTCTCATTTTTTCAGATTTTGATGAATGTAATCAAGAAAGATCTCCATGTCCAGAGAACTCAATCTGCATGAACATGGACAGGACATTCGATTGTATTTGCAATTCTGGTTTCGTCAAGAATGGGAGCAACCTTTGCGGTGAGTGTTTCTGGGTTTTATTTTCTAATTTTGATGAAATACTTTTATGAAAAAGCCAGCACCATGGACCAGCACCATAAGCTAAAACCGATGATTTCGTAAGCTAAAACCGATGATTTCGTAAGCTAAAACCGATGATTTCGTAAGCTAAAACCGATGATTTCGTAAGCTAAAACCGATGATTTTGTAAGCTAAAACCGATGATTTCGTAAGCTAAAACCGATGATTTCGTAAGCTAAAACCGACGATTTCGTAAGCTAAACCAGAAGATTTCGTAAGCTAAAACAAATGATTTCGTTTAGGAATCACATAAAACCTACAGCTGCTGCTACTAAAGTGGCTTTTTTGTAAATTAAATTTGTTAAATCCGCCTGTGTCGTTGAATCTATTCTATTGTTTAGAGAGAATATATATGCTCTAATGAGTAATTTACCTCCATTATTGTATTTTCACTCATTTTTTTAAAATTAATTTCTAGTGCCAAGGAAGAGGAATGCAGGTATTTTGATTGAATACATTATTTTTTTCTATCTTTAGAAAATAATCATGAAAATAATGGCTATTTTAACTTTAATATGACAACTTTGTTTCATTAAGTTTGCTCTCATGTGAAGATGCCTCAGTAGTTTAAAATAAAAAGCTTATTCTTACATAAATATGTTTTTATAGTTGATGAAGACGATGTAGAAGATGTAGACGCAGCGCTAATTGCAATTATAGTTTGGCTTTCAATATGTTTCCTAGTCGCCATTGTCTTGATTATTCGTGCACTAATAAGGTACATCATTTATGGATTATTGTGCATCTACTTCTATATCTTTATAAATGTCTTGATGATAAAATATAGCAGCATGACAAAAAGCACAAAATTCTTAACTATTCTTGCCAAAGACATACTAGTATTTTTCTTTTAAGAGAACAAGCAATGAAATGTATTTACATAATGAAATATATATCTTATTTTGTCATAAATTTCTGTGTGATTGAACTTTTATGTGACGTCTATGCAATGATTTGAGTTATGGCTGCTTCAATTTTATCATCAGTACTTTGGCTTAAAAATATCCAAACTTTTAATTTCAATAATGCTAATCACTCACGTGTATTCCCAAAGCAAACCAAATTCTAACAATATTCTTAATTTAGTTTCAGAAACAGCCGTAATGGAAATTCTGGTGATGAAAGTTATGGTACTTGGGGATCTTTTAATGGCTGAGGATACGACTGCTTGTGATGCCATCAATACCTGTCATGCAATAATATAATCAATAAAAGCACTGGATATGTAAACCTCTAATAGTAGTAATGGTTCTTATTAAAAATCGTGGCTACTTACAAAAAACCTCATCAATCAGTTCGTTCTAATATATTACTTTCCAAGTATTATACATTCATTAATAAATGATTTTGTTGCGCATGTAAGCTGTCCATGTAAGCGTGAAACATTTGACTGAATTTAAATTTAAAGCTGTTGCTGGTACGTAGCACTTTTATAGAAATTTTTGGGATCATTTTTAAAGGTTTAGCATGCACTGATTGTGGTCCCGTGTTGTCTGAAAAATTTTTTCTTTTTCCTCTTTCCGCAGATAAAACCTCTTAGGGATGAGAGTTGAGATTTGTGGAAATCTAGTTGTTACTGAGAGTGGAGATAGTTCTTCGCCAAGGAAGGCTCTCTGTTGATACCACCGTAATGTTGGGCATGATGTATGCTTTATCTTTTACAAATCAACAAAAGGGGGATTGTTGCGTTTCCCGTAATCTGATTGGCAGCAGAAGTGCACGGGTGGAATTTTACGATATCTGACCAAAGGGTTCATTTGTTTCGTTTGCTTTTCATTTTACCAAGGAAAGTACAGCATTTGCAGATCAATTAAGTAGAAAATGAAAATCATTGAAATGAAGGCAATTCAAATGACGCGTTAAGTCAATAGCGGCTACTTAAATACAACTGAAGCAATAGATGGTTTACGAGTTCATTTTCTTCTTTATGAAATGAAAGGAAACAATTCTCTTGAAAATAGTCCTCTCAAGATTTAAAATGCATAAATGAATTTTGAGGAGTGGTGCAGAGAGGCGCACATTTCCTACAAAATACTTCATACATACTAAACAATTAAGTAAAAATCATATATTCATTGGTGTTTATGGAGCGGACTTCCGACAATCTCCCACCATGATTAAAACAAAACTTTAGCTAGCACCTCAATTCGTTGATGCAGCATGAGTAGTACATACTTAACCATACCATACTTGATATTTCATCCAGAATATATTTCAACTTGTTAGGCATACCATTCATGCTGTGATAATTAACTTTTCCTGCAGATCAGTACCATAATTCGCCTTTTTAAAGCTAGTACTCGGCAACGCTTGCTGGTCGTCATGTTCAGTGGGAGCGGCGTTTGTTTGAAGAATCAATGGCTGATAATGCTGGTCAATTACTGCTACGTAGTCCAAGTTCTCTGGTGAATGTTCTGATTTACCTTCATCGTCTTTATTTTGTGTCGGAAGCTTTGGGAGAGGAACGTCCTGTTTATGAATGATTTCATAACGCTCTTCATCACTAAAATTTGAAGGAATTTTGCCGATGACATCGCCTGGCTCTTCGTATATTTGATCTCCATTGTCATGCTCAACTTTTGCCTCAAGCTCAACTACCTGATGTTGTTCCTTTTCTAGAAAAGAGTTTGTTACGAGTTTAACAAAGACATGCAGTCCATGGAAAAAAGACATTATGCAAAGTACAAAGAATTATTAAGAAATCTATGTATAATTTTCTGAACAAGTATTCAAACCCCAAATATCGTAAAAAATATTCAAAAATGAACCAAAACATATGATACAAATCATTCAACCCTTATATTAAAAAAAATTATTACTTTATACTAAACTATCAACTAATATCAAAATAAACTTTCAAATTATACAAAACTAAAGATTAAATAATATACGACAAACAATGAAAGTTCATGTAATTTGTTACTAAAGCTTTAAACACTTTCGACAAACGGATTCCTTGTAAGAATTACGTTGTAAAAAATATCGTATTTTGTTTCAATTTACAAAAGCAAACAACAAGAAAAATTATGACAAAAACACGACACAATCATTAACCTAAATCAACTAATGCTAAAAACTCTTTGATCCCTTGAAAATATAATTATATAATATATACTGACACTTCTTTGTTTTAACACTTTATCCTGCAAATATAACCTTTTATAAGAATTTTATGATAACAAAATGAGTAGCTTACTTCTTTTTGATTTACAGAAGCAAGCAACTGCAACGGCAACAACAACAACAATAATAACAAAAACAACAACAGCAGATATTCCAGCTGCAACACCTGTGATTGTTGACTCAACAGATGAAGACTTTGGTGAAGTTGGTAAATCTACAGAAAATAATGAAGTCATCATTGTATTGTCTTTATTAAATTTTCACTATTACAAAGGGTTTGTTAACTTAAAATGTTTCAAAAAAAAACTAAAATTTCCTTGCACTGCTTTTTGACAAAACAAATAACTTTGCTGCACTAGAAATTTGTTTCATATGCTTATTTCAAAACATATATAGTTTTAGTTTATAGAAAATGCGCGTGAACAACAAATTTGACAATTTCTCTTAATGGAATAAAATATATAAATATTATTAGTCGATGACATCATTGTAGTGATGTCATCGATGACATTGCTGCGACAAAAAAATCTTCTTGGACGCCCGCAGTGGACTTCATTTATCAAAATAAAGCAGATTAATGAACATCATTTAAATAACCTTTTACACTAAATATTTTTACATTAAACATATTCGAAATTTGATAGTAAGCTTTAGACTGACAGTTCGGTCATATCACCCTGTAAGTATCAAACCTTTTTCAACATTTGCCGCATGATTGTGAAATTTCAACGCCGGGGTTGAGTTCAGCACCGGGGTTGAAAAGCTGTCATGTAATAGCGCATTGTATTTGATTAAGATTTATAGAGCAAGCAGGGCTGAAATTTCAGCCCACTTAACAGGGCTGAGTTCAACCCCGTGGTTGAAAATGCTTCATGTAATCAGGCCCTTAAAGTAATTTTTAGATACCAACTATAAAATCTTACTTGTACACGAGAGTCCATTTCCAGTGTATCCATCGTTACATTGACATTCATAAGAACCTTCCTTATCAGTGCAGCTTGCATTGACATCACAAGGAACATTCAAACATTCATTGATATCTTAAACAAAAAACAAACCATTTGTTAGGCAAGTTAAAACTATTGCTACATCAACGGTATGTATGTCTTACTCGTGCAAGAGATCCCATTTCCAGTGTATCCATCGTTACATTGACATTCATAAGAACCTTCCTTATCAGTGCAGCTTGCATTGACATCACAAGGAACATTCAAACATTCATTGATATCTTAAACAAAAAACAAACCATTTGTTAGGCAAGTTAAAACTATTGCTACATCAACGGTATGTGTGTCTTACTCGTGCAAGAGATCCCATTTCCAGTGTATCCTTCGTTACATTGACATTCAAAAGATTCTTTAGTGTCAGTACAGTTAGCATTGACATGACAAGGGTCGGACAAGCATTCATTAATATCTTCAATAAAAGATCAAAATTAAATAAAAATTATTAATTTGTTGCTTTATCAAAAGCCACCGCTTCTTATTTGTACAACACAACGTTGATTACATAACAAAAAGAACCTAAATTATAAATTATGCTTCCTCATTATTATTCCTTTGACATGGTTTACTAGTCTGGTTTAATTTGAAGACTTAATCAGTTACAATGTACATAAATTAATTTGTACAAATCCTCATATATACAAAATATTGCATCTCCGGAATAACCTTTACAACATTTACATATAAAAGACCTTGTTTAATACGACGATACAAGGATTTGACAAAAAATTCATTGATAAGATTGGTAAATAACCTGAAGAAAAGTATAAGTCTTTCTGTCAACCACAGTTATGTACATGAAGCGATACAAGGTATAGCATGAGTTGAACTTAAATATATCATCTTTAAGATGTAATTGTACTATACAATTCAATTGATAAAGTTATGCTTTTACTGTTCATTGCTGATACTAAAATGTGCATAGATTACACGATATTTTTATTCATGTATGATCGTGGCCATACATCTTTCATTGATGGGATGAAAATTATGTAGAAATCTTTTTACATGATCACGTACACCAAAATCATCTCTTACAATATTTTGACAAGCTCACTTTCATTAATGCGTCGGGAAAAGAAAATTTTAAGTAGGGTTTTCAGAGAAAACTACAAAATTTTTAGAGATGATATAATATAAATTGAAATCCATTAATTAGCATTGTCATAAATGTTATGTCATAAATGTTATGTCATAAATGTTATGTCATAAATGTTATGTCATAAATGTTATGTCATAAATGTTATGTCATAAATGTTATGTCATAAATGTTATGTCATAAATGTTATGTCATAAATGAACTTCCTTGTGCCTGAAGCTGTTAGCATGTTAGTATGCGTCTACTTATATCAGTTTCCACGCTGGAGGAAGAAAAAAATTATGAAATTCTCTAAAATTTTAAATGTGTAATTCTACATAATGCTATTAGTGAAAAAATTTAGAAAAAGTACAAAACATTGATGATTTCATTGCTTACATTTTATCCTCATACGTTGACAAATGAAATGGTGTGATCTTTTGCATGGTTCATCATTCCAAAAGCCATAGTAGATCCTATATTGCACACAATTTTCGTTACCACGATAGTTATTTGGTTCTTCAGGACCCCAATTTATAAAAGTAGGTGTTACATTATGGACTGTATAAAATTTATTGTCGCTTTTATTGCGCCACAAACCAATAAAAGGGGTTTTGATTTGTTTTTGCTGGACTTCATCAAAAATAGCGTCATTTTCAGCTTTATTTTTTGGAACAGCAAGATCTCCACTCTTCTGTCGACAAATTCTTCTGGCTTCATGCCATGTTTCTGGTTTTGTACTGAAGAAATAACAAGATGATCGAAGCTTCACCCAGTCACGTGGACAACTACTCCCATTGTTAGCTAAGGAGAACAGAAAGCCGGATACAACGACTCGATTAATAATATAGTCATACAATGCTCAATGAAACAAATTGCTATACGTCAATACGTTGTATATTTTTTAAATTTATCGTTGAATGTATTAATGTTTATCTCAACCTTGTTACATAAGGGCATCTGTACTGACATCGAATGTTTTTATGAATGTCGATGAAGCAAAAGATATACTGGAGATGGAGTTTCTTGTAAAGTCAGATTTTTATATTTCGTATCGACATAATAATTTATTTTATTAAATATAATTTCATTACTTACATTTTATCCTCAATCTCTTACCTTGACAAATGAAATGGTGTGATCTACTGCATGGTTCATCATTCCAACGGCCATAGTAGATCATATATTGCACACAATCCTCATTGCCACCTTCGTTGTTTGGTTCTTCAGGACCCCAATTTATAAAAGTAGGTGTTACATTATGGATTGTATAAAATTTATTGTCGCTTTTATTGCGCGACAAACCAATAAAAGCATTTTTGATTTGTTTTCGCCGGACAACTTTAAAAATAGCGTCATTTTCAACTCTATTCTTTGGAACAGCAAGAAATCCTCCTTTTTGTTGACAATTTTTTCCTGCGTTTTGCCAAGTTTCTTTTGTTCCACTGAAGAAATAGCAAGATGACCATATCTCCATCCAGCCACGTGGACATACTCTGACTTTGTTTTGTAAAGCAAACAAGAAACCGTATGCAGTGAATTAATGCGTCAGGAAGAGAAAATTTAAGTGGGGTTTTTAGCTAACACCAAAAACTGCTTTGGTGCGAGTAAATAAAAATTGAAATCTATTAATTAGCATTCTTAAAGTTGTTTTCAGTCACGTCATTTTAATGACAATTTTCGACCTAAAACTGCTCGGATGTTAGCTTACATTAATTTTTGCGGTGAAGAAACAAGAAAAATTATTCAAATTTCTAAAATCCAAAATGTGTTTGTTTTACGTGATGCTTTCAGAGTAGACAGAATCGCAAAAGTTTAGAAAACGTAAAACATTGATAATTTCAGTACTTACATTGACAAATATAATTGTTTTCTGTTGTGCATGAAATGTCATTCCACTTGCGTTCCTCAGAGAATTCAACACAATCCTCACTGCCACCTGCGTCGTTAGGTTCATCAAGACCCCAATTTATGAAAGTAGGTGCTACATTATGGACTGTATAAAATTTATCGTCGCTTTTATTGCGCAACAAACCAATAAAAGCATTTTTGATTTTTTTTTGCCGGACTTCATCAAAAATAGCGTCATTTTCAGCTTTATTTTTTGGAACAGCAAGATCTCCCCCTTTTTCTTGACAATTTTTTCTTGCTTTTCGCCAAGTTTTTTTTGTTCCACTGAAGAAATAGCAAGATGACTGTATGTCCATCCAGCCACGTGGACATCCTCTGACTTTGTTTTGTAAAGCAAACAAGAAACCGTATGCAGTGAAGTAATGCGTCAGGAAGAGAAAATTTTAGTGTAGTTTTTAGCTAACACCAAAGACTGCTTTGGTGCGAGTAAATAAAAATTGAAATCTATTAATTAGCATTTTTAAAGTTGTTTGCAGTCACGTCATTTTAATGACAATTTTCGACCTAAAACTGCTCGGATGTTAGCTAACATTAATTTTTGCGGTGAAGAAACAAGAAAAATTATAAAAATCTCTAAAATTCAAAATGTGTTTGTTTTACGTGATGCTTTCAGAGTAGACAGAATCGCAAAAAGATTAGAAAACGTAAAAATATTGATTATTTCATTACTTACACTTTTCACAAATATAATTGTTTTCTGTTGTGCATGAAATGTCATTCCACTTGCGTTGCTTAGAGAATTCAACACAATCTTCGTTATCAAGATAGTCATTTGGTTCTCCAGAATTCCAATTTGTGAAAGTAGGTGCTACATTATGGACTGTATAAAATTTATCGTCGTTTTTATTGCGAAACAAACCAATAAAAGGATATGTAAGTTTTCTTCTTTGTGAAAATTTGTAAATGGCGTCATTTTCAGCTTTATTTTTTGGAACAGCAAGATCTCCACCCTTCTGTTGACAAATTGTTCTGGCTTCATGCCAGGTTTCTTGCGTTGTACTGACGAAATAGCAAGATGACTGTAGCTCCATCCAGCCTGAGGGACAACTACTGACTTTGCTAACTAAGACGAACAAGAAACCAACTACATCAACAACATGGAGTTTGTAGCAGAGCTTGACAGCCCCCCCCCTTTCTTCAAAATATTTTACTTTGTAAAGTGTAAAGTATAAAATCCACTTTAACAAATACTTATATTTGATAAGAATGGATGTTTATCACTATTTCTAGTCTCACTTATGTTCCACTTTCATTTATTACTTGACGTTAGATTGATCAATTATAGAGGCGTTCAGACTGAGTGCTGGAGTACGATACCCTGGTTCGGACAAAAATCTGCAGGCCGTTCACACTACGTAGTACTCACTAGCTTTGTCTATTTATAATTTCATGTTTTTTTTTGTAAACAAGCTTTGAAACCATGTGCTGAATACGTGCCTCTCTGTACACGTTACTTAGGTGTCGTCGTTAACATTGGTGCCCGTGCCCGAGCACCGTACTTGGGTACTACCTCTTTTCCTGTTGACAGACCTGGCCACTTATACACGGGCACCATCAAAATGTTGTGCTCACATTGGTGCCCGTGCCTGAGTACCGACTCAGGGGACTCAGTCTGAACGCACTATAATAAACTTTACAAACGAAATAAAACAAACTTTGTATGTTGAATGATTACTGATAACTGTTAAAAAGCAGCTTTGCTATACTGGGACCAACAATCCGATTCTGTAATCTTCCCCCCTCCCCCATTTTCTAACCTCTCCTTGGCCCCTGCATGATGATATCTGCATTATTAAGTAGAATATTTCATAAATTCATACCTTGTAAATTGAACACGGGCATCATCAGAAGAAATGTCAAGCGAAACATTTTCAAGCCACGATGATTTTCAATGATACAGTTTGAAATCTGTCGACAATATCAAACATATTACATAATTACACGCGGAACAGCAACGGACTCACCCTTCCCTGGCAGTAGCTGAAATTGTCATGCAAGCCCCACCATATATACCTATATCAATACCACCTTTTTGTTTCGGTATACGTAAATGACATAATCACAGAACTCATGTAGACATGATTGTTTCTTTCTCGCTCACGGCAAACAGAACAGCCACATATACAATTTACCAAAGACGTCGAGGGAAACTGAGCTCCTTCTTACAAACTACAAAACACACTCCACCAAGAACCAACACATGTGGACCTAATACTCGACTAATCATCTAACAAATCTACATCATACAAAGCTACCATATTGAACATTAACGAGACGAGCACAACACCTTTGAACGAAATCATCGAACGATTTTCACCACGAAAATAAATGAAACAAACACAAAGAATGACACCATAAACACAGCATTCGGAAACATTAGCAGTCAACAAACAGAATTGGACCATTAATCAAATGACAAGGAAAGCAACGATAACATACGTCCAAGTTAGGTGAACTATGTCTGAGAGAATCTCGCGTATATATTATGGTCATAAAAAGAACATACGTGTCACACATAAACCGAAAACAACCAGACGAGCAACAAGGCGAAGTTTACAAAAAAAAAAATACCCTCGACTATAGCTAGGCCACCTACCTCGACACACTAAAGATAAACAACCAGACGAGCAACAAGGCGAAGTTTACAAAAAAATACCCTCGACTATAGCTAGGCCAACTACCTCGACACACTAAAGATAAACAACCAGACGAGCAACAAGGCGAAGTTTACAAAAAAATACCCTCGACTGTAGATAGGCCACCTACCTCGACACACTAAAGATAAACAACCAAACAAGCAACAAGGCGAAGTTTACAAAAAAAAAAATACCCTTGACTGTAGATAGGCCACCTACCTCGACACACTAAAGATAAACAATCACAAATACAAAAGATATAACAACCAAAAGGCTTAACATCACCAACGAACAAAATATAATATTTACTACAACACATACCGATGCTGTAGCAACGACTAAAGTGTACAGAATACGATTTATTATATGTACTATACAGAATATTATACATACGTTTTATGTATTAGAAATTTGTCTTACCAACACAGCAAAACCGTTGAACCGATCAAAACATTTATACAAACGGCACAATCTCAAACAAACGAGTAAAATAATAAGCACACACTTGAAAATAAACGGAAAATAGACAACAACCAGAACATCGGACACCCACATATTTCTTGTACATACAATATTTTGACTTTAAACAATACGAAAGAAACATGAAATACGGCGAAACCTGACGTTTATGAAATGATTATCGCTAGATTTCGTTCAAGTTAAATCAGTTGTGCGAACTGTGTAACTTTTCCTGTTAAAACACAAGTTACTCAAATTTCAAATCAGTCATAAAAGTTGAATCACCATCGCATGCCACTTTTATGATATAAAATTACGATAAAGCAAGTTTTATAATTTAAAATTGTGATAAAGCATTTTACTTATGAAGCTGCAGCTACACTATAAGTTTAACTATATAATAAACATGACTGAATTAATCAGTTGTGTTTTATATCATTATGACACGGATTATGATTGATATACAACAGTAAATACTTCTTACTGCAGCAATATTTCAAAACAGGACTGTACTAATCTGGATGATTTCGTTTTAAAATACATAAGGACACACATCAATGGATTTTATTTGAAAATAAGAACTTTTAATAATGTCCGACACGACGGGGAAACGTATATTTAAAGTTTCATAAGCAATTAATACAGTACAGCTGGCACAAAGTAAAATGAAAGTATTTATAATAGACTAATAGTATACACATTCTGCTTTAAAGAGCGTGCGTCATAGAACCTATAGCTGCTCGTTTATGACGCAGGTTATTCTTTAAGAGTTGCTTAGGACAAGCAAAATGAAATTGCGAAAGTTTAATTAAATGTGTATTTCTCTCAAACCTTTTCCAGAGGCAGGCATCAAGCTTATTAAAAACAACGGGCTTATTTTGCTTAAGTCTTGTTGCCGTGTTTATATAATCTAAAACACTTTAAGTTCGATTGATTTCTGTGTTGTTCATTAAAGACTGAAGTTGTGTTCGAATTGCTTGTAAAAACACGTCCGTACTTTGATAGTTACGTAGTCGCAAAGCTTCATCAGCCTAAAAGCAATAACAACAAAAAACAATGAACTGGATTTAAACGAGGTTTTACAATGTATAATAATACACTATAGTCATTACGTATCAGATCAGTAATATATTCTAACCAGAGCAAATTTAGAAGAGGAATTCGGCAACACTGGGCGTTAGGAATCACGTGTATAAAAATAGTAACACGTGACCAATATCCCAGCTTTAACAATACAACAAAAGCATTTTAGGGCTGTTACATGATCATGCAAAATATAAATCGGACTACCTGCTCAAGCAAATGCTATTCTGTGAGCAGAGATACTTTGTTTGCAAAATGAAATTATATAATAAAGCAATACTTACTATTTCTTTTTCTTTTGCATATTCTTTCATTTCTTCTTTCAATTGGTCTTTGATAACAACAGCTGCATGACGTGATTTTTCGCGTTCTTCGACCATTGTTTCATTCAAATTGCTCTAAATAAACAAAAATATTTATAAATTTGTTTGTTTGTAGTGAGCTAAACATATATCTTGAATGGGTAGCTCTGTCTGGAGAGATATGTGTTAATAGATAGTGTATACAGATGTATACATGTTGATAGGTGTATGTATACAGATGTATTCCGGTAGATATTAATGTACACAGATGAATGCTGATCCATGGATGTATACAGATGTAGTATGTTGGTAGATGGTGGTATAAAGATTCATGAATAGAGATTTGTGTTATTAGGTAGCTATAAACAGATCTGCTTTTTTGTAGATGAATGTACAATGGTGTATATGTTGTAGATGGGTGTAAAACAGATGTCTTTAAACTCAAACATTATTTATATACAGTCCCCATGCATCTTTGTATACCAACATACCGTACGTACATCTTTGTATACCAACATACCGTACGTACATCTTTGTATACCAACATACCGTACGTACATCTTTGTATATCAACATACCGTACGTATATCTTTGTATACCAACATAACGTACGTACATCTTTGTATATCAACATACCGTACGTATATCTTTGTATATCACATAACGTACGTACATCTTTGTATATCAACATACCGTACGTACATCTTTGTATATCAACATACCGTACGTACATCTTTGTATATCACATAACGTACGTACATCTTTGTATATCAACATACCGTACGTACATCTTTGTATACCACATAACGTACGTATATCATTGTATACCAACATACCGTACGTACATCTTTGTGTACCAACATAACGTACGTATATCTTTGTATACCAACATAACGTACGTACATCTTTGTATACCAACATAACGTACGTATATCATTGTATATCTATCAAAGCATATATAAGTTAACCTTAGCTTCTTCTTCCTGTTCTTCAACAAACTTTGAAATCAAATTTTTCGTTTCCTTTCTTTCCTGACAAAGATTTTCTTCAAATTGTTTCTAAAAAATGGAAAAAAAAAACAAAACCGCGTGGGGTGGACTTTCGTCAAAGTACATATATTACATTTAGGAAGGGTTGCCAACCATGAATATTAAAAATAAACATATTTCTAATACACATGTATCTACTTAGGCACCTTACATACGACATGATAATATAGCAGACTATAATCAAACGACTGTCTTTAAAATATCACAAAGGCAGCGATCTTTCTTGTACGTATAATGTAAAAATACACATCCCAAGAAACTGCATCTTACCTTTACTGAAGAGATCATAGACTCAAACTCTTTCTTCTGATTGAGTAGCAATTCGTCAGCGGCAGCAGCCCCGCGGGCGCGTTCTTCCTATATTACGATACGCCATGTAAAATAAAGACACATTATACCATGAGATGTAAAGTCTTAACTTCAGTTACAAATATTCTAAATTATACAAACCTCTAAGGCCTTTTCGAGCAGTTCTTGATTTTTCTTTCTCTCCTCTTCAAGACAATCGTTCAATTTTTTCTATTGATTATAAAATCATTTTCAAAAATTAATCAGTCTACTTGAATGAAGTCATTACATGTATGAAGAATCATTATTCGCAAAACAAAGCACAACAGTCTTTCCGAAATGAGGACGACGAAATTCACCAATGAGAAATAAGAGAAATAACTTAGAATCGCATAGATGGTCGAACTACAATTTATAGTTAATCTTTAAGTAAAAAACAGACGAACCATGAATTTGAGCGACTTTGCCTAAGAGTTATTGTTCTTTTTTTTCTTAATAATACTGTATAGTTATATTAGCTACAACCTAGAATTCTCACCTCATATTTCGCCTTTTGTTCTTCTAAAGCATCTTCAATTTTATGCAATCCTTTCGTTTGTTCCTCAACAACCATAAGTTTCAAAGTCTCGCCCTACAGTCACAAGAAATGAGATTAATGTTAACAACGTTTCAAAAAGCATCAAAGATCAAATCTTAAGATGCATCAAGGAACCTTCCTGATTAAGTAGGGGCCGAAATGTGACTCCGCTCCGGTAAAGAAGAAAAGTCGACTTAAATTTGTAGTGCAGTTTTTAAAAAAATTTATTATTACAGCTTTATGCAGTATAATGAAAGCTACATATATCTTTAATGCATTTGTTCTCTTTTTTACGTCAAATCCCGTGTTAGGTCTATACCGTTTCGACAACCTTTGACTCTGAAGATGACTACCGCTAAGGTTGTCGAAACGTCAGTCAACAACAACAAAAACAGTCATTCTCAGGACTATACCAACCTGGACGATCTACGTTTACAAACATGTAACGATACTCCCGGGTTCAAACCATTTACTTTAAAACTCGTCAAGATAAAATTTTCGCCAAGTCAAATCTCAAATTCGATTCAACTACCTAACGAAGCAGTTTCCCTGGCGCTGATACAGGCGCTTTGATAAGATAGGTAAGAGTGCATTCAAATATAATGTTCTATTTTGAAAACAGTGGATGGCGCTGTAACTTATGCAAAGTAAAGGACGTAGTTGAAAGAGTTCAAAAAATTTTAAATTGAAAGAATACCATCACTTCTTCGAAACTTTAAACACAGCAGAAAGTAAGATTCACAATTCACACTCAACAAAGAAAATGATTGTGTGCACATTCTTCTTGGGACGATCAATCACCTGATGCTTGATGAATTCCGTAAATTTATCTCTCTCTTCAAGTATTTTATGTAAATGTTTCTCATTTCTCTCGCGTTCCTGTGATACAGCTGTTGTCGATAATGCCTTTCGAAATAAAGATGCAGTTGAAAATAAAAAACAAGCCATTTTCTACGAAAGCACTTGGCAAAATATTGAGATGATTATTGGATGTTAAATCAATCAATATTTGTCGGATAGGGAAATTTAAACCTTGTATTCTTCAACTATTAGAGCAAATGACTCTTGTCCAGCTTCTCTCAGTTTCTTAACTTTTTCCTCGTGTTCGTCCTAACAGAAATCACATTAGTAGCAGCCATATGTATATGAGAGAGAGAGAGAGGCATAAAACAAACAATAATTTTACTAATTTTAGTACTTACAGTTTATGTCACTTCTTCCACGTTGACAGATGAAATGGTGTGCGTTACTGCATGAAATGTCATTCCATAGTCCATTTGAATACCAATAATTAACGCAATTTTCATTACCTTTGTTATTAGGTTCTGATGGATGCCAATTTGTGTAAGCAGGTTTAACATTTTCGATTGTGTAAAATTTTTATCACTTTTTACGAAACAAACCAATGTAAGGCCGTGTATGATGTTTTCTCTGTGAAAATTTGTAAATGACGTCATTTTCAGCTTTATTCTTTGGAACAGCAAGATCTCCACCCTTCTGTTGACAAATTGTTCTTGCGTTTTGCCATGTTGTTTGTCTCTTACTGAAATAATAACAAGATGTCTGTAGTTCTGTCCAATCAGAAGGACATGGAAGTGCTTCGCTTACTAGACGAATCAAAAAAGTCAATTGCTTAAAAAACGTAGAATCATTAATAAAAATGTTATGATGTGTACGATTTGAAGATATATATAATGTGTAGAAGATATCATAAGCTATAGTACCTTCAAAATTTAACACGATAATCTTTAGAAGAATTATTTGCTTTAACATTTTCAAACCACGAAGAAATTTAATGATACAACAGACTACCATCAAGGACAACGTTTTAACATAATGAGAATGATTGCTATAGTATAATGTATTTATTGATAATGTCCGAGCTTGTTGCTGAAACAAACGCGTAAAGCGTCAATTGTAATACATTATAATGCAAATTAAAGATTTAAAAAATAGACGTTTATCTTCCGTTATTCAAGTAGCTAATTTTAAAACTAAAAAAATCAAACGAATATATAAACGTTTTCTTAGTCATCTTCTTTATATTATGCTTAGTCGCAACTTTCCAAATAATTTCAGCCATTTCAGGCCAAAGAGATAACTGCAAATCACCGAATTATTGTTTTATCAAACCAGAGAATTATGATTATTACAAACAAAAAATCTTTGTTCAGAGTTAATGCACGTCAAATTGTTTTATCTTCTTATCAGATCAGATCACTTGACGTTTTCAATTTGCGAAATCATATTAATGTTAAATATCGCAATTAAAAGCACTGAATATGAGTCGCCAAAGCAGACAAAATTGCTATATTGCAAAAAATCATGCTAAGTGAAAAAAGATCATGCTAATTAAAATTCATAGTTCACCTGCAACACACCAGTAAATCGTAGGGTGAAATTCAAACAATGCGTAGTTTAAAGACAAGACATGGCAAAGGAATAATTTCTCGAGTTTATTTTTTATATATTTTAAAGGATTTCTTCCTCAAATACAAAACGATTTTTGCAAAAGAATACTTTTGAAAACTTATTAGTGAAAATGGACGAAGCGTGTGATTTTCTATGGGAGCAAATAAGTCAACTTGTCAAAAATGTTTCGTTCGCCATAAAACAGTATATTGGCGAAGAAAATAACCATAGTTTGTAGAGCCTTAGAAGCCCTAAACTGTCCATTTCTTCTGTCTCGTGTAGTGGAGGTCAGCCTTGCTATGATATTTATGAAGAACAGGTGCTGTTACTTAGGACGATAAATTTTACTTTCTCCCCTAGAAAATCTTCTTGTGCAGGATTCAAACCATTGAGCAACACTATCCAAGTATCACATGCTTTGTCTGTTTTCACTGATGAGTTTTCAAGAGCATCTCAAGAAGCAGATCGGTTATCAATAAGTGGCTATTTTAATAAATATCTTGAAATATTGCCTCCCTTTCGGTCATCTTTGAGCCGAAATCCCACATCACATGTTGCTGTTTGAAAGCTGGCTAAAAATATAGAATGCGTATCTTGGAGTGCACTAATAATGCTAGGAAGATGAGCCAGATAACGTCAGTGGTATAATGAACACGAAGAAAATAGCAAAAGATGATTGTTCTGGTTTGCTAGAGATGATCGTGGTGTTCTTTTGTGTTTGAAATTGTTGAATATGTATTTTTAGTCTGGTATTTGAGCTGCTATAGCCAGGAATGTTATGCATTCTGTTATTTTTGTATGTTGAGGTTTCCGACAATCATCTCTTGTGTTTCCCTACCACCCCTGCTTTGTATCATTTTGTTAGTGCAATATTAATATGTCTAACTGTCAGGCATATTAAATATTTGATTGAAAAGCACTATGTACAACTTGTACAAAATAGTACATTGAAATATAAGAAAACGTATTCGAAACTCTCCTAGAGAGCTTAACTTTTTTGAATGTTGTCCTTCTCAGTACATTTTGAATTCTTTAATTTAATATTACTAACGTCATTTCACATTCTGATTATTCACATCCATATTCAACAACTTCCTTTAAAAAAGCACCATTTAGCTTGTTTTACCCATCTGGGATACGGATCCCACTCTGAATAAATAAGAATTTTAATATCTTTAATCAAACAAAGAAAGTTGTGTTTTTTAAACAGTCTAGCAAACACTTTTTATTGACTTTATAAAAGTAAGATGTAAATTGCATTACATTGGTTTAGTGAGACGATTTGAGAAACCAGGTGATAAACTTGGCATTTTTTCTCTGGGAACCATAATAGACATGATTTTTTGCTTTATTTTTTTCAAATCAACAAAAGGGGGATTGTTGGCGTTTCCTGCAATCTGATTGGCAGCAGAAGTGCATGGGTGGAATTTTACGATATCTGACCAAAAGGCTCATTTGTTTCGTTTGCTTTTTCATTTTACCAAGGAAAGTACAGCATTTGCAGATCAATTAAGTAGAAAATGAAAATCATTGAAATGAAGGCAATTTAAATGACGCGCTAAATCAATGGAGCCTACTTTAATACAACTGAAGCAATAGATGGTTTACGAGTTCATTTTCTTCTTTATGAAATAAAAGGAAACAATTCTCTTGAAAATAGTCCTCCCAAGATTTAAGATACACAAATGAATTTTGAGGAGTGGTGCAGAGAGGCGCACATTTCCTACAAAATACTTCACATATACTAAACAATTAAGTAAAAATCATATATTCATTGGTGTTTATGGAGCGGACTTCCGACAATCTCCCCACCATAATTAAAACAAAACTTTAGCTAGCACCTCAATTCGTTGATGCAGCATGAATAGTACATACTTAACCATACCATACTTGATATTTCATCCAGAATGTTAGGCATACCATTCATGCTGTGATAATTAACTTTTCCTGCAGATCAGTACCATTATTCGCCTTTTTAAAGCTAGTACTCGGCAACGCTTGCTGGTCAGCATGTTCAGTGGGTGCGGCGTTTTTTTGAAGAATCAATGGCTGATAATGCTGGTCAATTACTGCTACGTAGTCCAAGTTCTCTGGTGAATGTTCTGATCTACCTTCATCGTCTTCATTTTGTGTCGGAAGCTTTGGGAGAGGAACGTCCTGTTTATGAATGATTTCACAACGCTCTTCACTAAAATTTGGAGGAATTTTGCCGATGACATCATCGTATATTTGATCTCCATTGTCATGTTCAATTTTTGTCTCAAGCTCAACTACTTGATGTTGTTCCTTTTCTAGAAAATAGTTTGTTAGGAGTTTAACAAAGACATACAGTCCATGGAAAAAAGACATTCTGCAAAATACAAAGAATGTATTAAGAAATCTATGTCTAATTTTCTGAACAAGTATTCAAACCACAAATATCGTGGAAAATATTCAAAAATAAACCAAAAGGCTACACTAAGATATGACAGAAATCCTTCAACCCTAATACAAAAAAAATAAGTACTTTATACTAAAGCTTTAAACACTTTCGCGCATACGACAAACGGATTCCTTGTAAGAATTACGTTGTAAAAAAATGAATATCGTATTTTGTTTTAATTTACAAAAGCAAGCAACAAGAAAAATGATGACAAAACACGACACAATCATTAACCAAAATCAACCAATGGTAAAAACTCTTTGATCCCTTCAAAAAATAATTATACAATTTATACTGACACTTCTTTGTTTTCACACTTTATCCTGTAAACATAACCTTTTATAAGAATTTTAAGATAACAAAATGAGTAGCTTACTTTTTTTTGATTTAAGGAAGCAAGCAACGGCAACAACAACAATAATAATAACAAAAACAACAACAGCTGATATTCCAGCTGCAACACCTATGATTGTTGACTCAACAGATGAAGACTTTGGCGAAGTTGGTAAATCTACAGAAAATAATGAAGTAGTCATTGTATTGTCTTTATTAAATTTTCACTACATTACAAAGGGTTTGTTCACTTAAAATGTTTCAAAAAAAAATTAAAATTTCCTCGCACTGCTTTCTGACAAAACAAATAACTTTGCTGTACTAAAACTTTGTTTCATATGCTTATTTCAAAACATATATAGTTTTAGTTTACAGAAAATGCGCGTGAACTACAAATTTCACAATTTCTCTTAAAATAATAAAATATATAACTATTGTTAGGCGATGACATCATTGTAGTGATGTTATCGATGACATTGCTGCGACAAAAATCTTCTTGGACGCGCACAGTGGACTTCATTTATCAAAATAAAGTAGATTAATGAACATCATTTAACCTTTTACACTAAATATTTTTACATTAAACATACTCGAGATTTGATAGTAAGTTTTAGACTCACAATTTGATCATATCACCCTGTAAGTATCAAACCTTTTTCAACATTTGCCGCATGATTGTGAAATTTCAAAGCCGGGGTCGAAAATGCTTCATGTAATCAGGCCCTTAACATAATTTTTAGATACCAACTATAATATCTTACTTGTACACGAGAGTCCATTTCCAGTGTATCCATCGTTACATTGACATTCATAAGAACCTTCGTTATCAGTGCAGTTTGCATTGACATCACAAGGAACATTCAAACATTCATTGATATCTTAAACAAAAAACAAACCATTTGTTAGGCAAGTTATAACTATTGCTACATCAACGGTATGTGTGTCTTACTCGTGCAAGAGATCCCATTTCCAGTGTATCCTTCGTTACATTGACATTCAAAAGATTCTTTAGTGTCAGTACAGTTAGCATTGACATGACAAGGGTCGGACAAGCATTCATTAATATCTTCAATAAAAGATCAAAGTTAAATACAAATTATTAATTTGTTGTTTTATCAAAAGCCACCGCTTCTTATTTGTACAACACAACGTTGATTACATTACAAAAAGGACCTAAATTATAAATTATGCTTCCTCGTTATTATTCCTTTGACATGGTTTACTAGCCTGGTTTAATTTGAAGACTTAATCAGTTACAAGTTACATAAATTAATTTGTATAAATCCTCATACATACGAAATATTGCATCTCCGGAATAACCTTTACAACATTTACATATAAAAGACCTTGTTTAATACGATGATAAAAAAAAATGGGACAAAAAATTCATTGATAAGATTGGTGAATAGCCTAAAGAAAAGTATAAGTCCTTCTGTCAACCACAGTTATGTACATGAAGCGATACAAGGTATAGCATGAGTTGAACTTAAATATATCATCTTTAAGATGTAATTGTAATATACAATTAAATTGATAAAGTTATGCTTTTACTGTTCATTGCTGATACTAAATTGTGCATAGATTACACGATATTTTTATTCATGTATGATCGTGGCCATACATCTTTCATTGATGGGATGAAAATTATGTAGAAATCTTTTTACATGATTACGTACACCAAAATCATCTCTTACAATATTTTGACAAGCTCACTTTCATTAATGCGTCAGGAAAAGAAAATTTTAAGTAGGGTTTTCAGAGAAAACTACAAAATTTTTAGAGATGAAATAGTATAAATTGAAATCCATTAATTAGCATTGTCATAAATGTTATGTCATAAATGTTATGTTATAAATGTTATGTCATAAATGTTATGTCATAAATGTTATGTTATAAATGTTATGTCATAAATGTTATGTCATAAATGTTATGTCATAAATGTTATGTCATAAATGTTATGTCATAAATGTTATGTCATAAATGTTATGTCATAAATGTTATGTCATAAATGTTATGTCATAAATGTTATGTCATAAATGTTATGTCATAAATGTTATGTCATAAATGTAATGTCAGACAAGAACTTCCTTGTGCCTAGAGCTGTTAGCATGTTAGTATGCGTCTACTTATATCAGTTTCCACGCTGGAGAAAGAAAAAAATTATGAAATTCTCTAAAATTCTAAATGTGTACTTCTACATAATGCTATTAGTGGAAAATTTAGAAAAAGTACAAAACATTGATGATTTCATTACTTACATTTTATCCTCATACGTTGACAAATGAAATGGTGTGATCTACTGCATGGTTCATCATTCCAACGGCCATAGTAATTCTTATATTGCACACAATCCTTATTGCCACCTTCGTTGTTTGGCTCTTCAGGACCCCAATTTATAAAAGTAGGTTTTACATTATGGACAGTATAAAATTTATTGTCGCTTTCATTGCGCAATAAACCAATAAAAGGATATGTAAGTTTTCTTCTTTGTGAAAATTTGTAAATGGCGTCATTTTCAGCTTTATTTTTTGGAACAGCAAGAAATCCTCCCTTCTTTTGACAATTTTCTTTTGCTTTTGCCAAGTTTTTTGTTTCACTGAAGAAATAGCAAGATGATCGAAGCTTTACCCAGTCACGTGGACAACTACTCCCATTGTTAGCTAAGAAAAACAGAAAGCCTAATGCAATGACTCGATTAATAAAATAGTCATACAATGCTCAATGAAACAAATTGCTATACGTCAATACGTTGTATATTTTTTAAATTTATTGTTTAATGTATTAATGTTTGTCTCAACCTTGTTACATAAGTGCATCTGTACTGACGTCGAACTTTTATGACTGTCGATGAAGCGAAAGATATACTGGAGATGGAGTTTCTTGTAAAGTCAGATTTTTATATTTCGTATTGACGTAATAATTTATTTTATTAAATATAATTTCATTACTTACGTTTCATTCTCAATCTCTTACCTTGACAAATGAAATGCTACTGCATGGTTCATCATTCCAACGGCCATAGTAATTCTTATATTGCACACAATCCTCATTGCCACCTTCGTTGTTTGGTTCTTCAGGACCCCAATTTATAAAAGTAGGTTTTACATTATGGAGAGTATAAAATTTATTGTCGCTTTCATTGCGAAACAAACCAATAAAAGGATATGTAAGTTTTCTTCTTTGTGAAAATTTGCAAATAGCGTCATTTTCAGCTTTATTTTTTGGAACAGCAAGAAATCCTCCTTTCTTTTGACAATTTTCTTTTGCTTTTCGCCAAGTTTTTGTTCTACTGAAGAAATAGCAAGATGACCATATATCCATCCAGCCACGTGGGCATCCTCTGACTTTGTTATGTAAAGCAAACAAGAAACCGTATGCAGTGAATTAATGCGTCAGGAAGAGAATATTTAAGTGGGGTTTTTAGCTAACACCAAAAACTGCTTTGGTGCGAGTAAATAAAAATTGAAATCTATTAATTAGCATTCTTAAAGTTGTTTTCAGTCACGTCATTTTAATGACAATTCTCGACCTAAAACTGCTCGGATGTTTGCTAACATTAATTTTTGCTGTGTAGAAACAAGAAAAATTATAAAAATCTCTGAAACTCTAAATGTGTTTGTTTTACGTGATGCTTTCAGAGTAGACAGAATCGCAAAAAGTTTAGAAAACATAAAAACATTGATTATTTCAGTACTTACATTTTTGACAAATATAATTGTTACGGCTTGTGCATGAAATGTCATTCCACTTGGGTTGAATAGGATAAAATCGAACACAATCCTCGTTACCACGACGGTTATTTGGTTCTTTAGGACCCCAATTTGTGAAAGTAGGTTTGAAATTATGGACTGTATAAAATTTATTGTCGTTTTTATTGCGCAACAAACCAATAAAAGGGGTTTTGATTTGTTTTTGCCGGACTTCATGAAAAATAGCGTCATTTTCAGCTTTATTTTTTGGAACAGCAAGATCTCCCCCTTTCTTTTGACAACTTTTTCTGGCTTCATCCCATGTTTTTTGCGTTGTACTGAAGATATAGCAAGATGACTGTAGCTTCATCCAGCCTGAGGGACAACTACTGACTTCGTTAACTAAGACGAACAAGAAACCAACTATACATCAACAACATGGAGTTTGTAGCAGAGCTTGACAGCTACCTCTACAAAATCTCTTACTTTGTAAAGTGTAAAAGTATAAAAACCCACTTTAACAAATACTTATATTTGATAAGAATGGATATTTCTTATGGAGACTATTTCTAGTCTCACTTATGTTCCACTTTCATTTTTTAGTTGGCGCTAGATTGATCAATTATAGCGCGTTCAGACTGAATGCTGGAGTACGATAGCCTGGTTCGGACAAAAATCTGCAGGCCGTTCACACTACGTAGTACCCACTAGCTTCGTCTTTTTATAATTTCATGTTTTTCTTTGTAAACAAGCTTTAAAACCATGTGCTGAATACGTGCTTCTCTGTACACGTTACTAAGGTGTCGTCGTTAACATTGATGCCCTTGCTCGAGCACCGTACTTGGGTACTACCTCTTTTCGTGGTGCCCAAACCTGGCCACTTATACACAGCCACCATCAAAATGTTGTGCTCACATTGGTACCCGTGCCTGAGCACCGTACTTGGGTACTACCTCTTTTCGTGGTGCCCAGACCTGGCCACTTATACACGGCCACCATCAAAATGTTGTGCTCACATTGGTACCCGTGCCTGAGCACCGTACTTGGGTACTACCTCTTTTCGTGGTGCCCAGACCTGGCCACTTATACACGGCCACCATCAAAATGTTGTGCTCACATTGGTACCCGTGCCTGGGCACCGTACTTGGGTACTACCTCTTTTCGTGGTGCTCAGACTTGGCCACTTATACACGGCCACCATCAAAATGTTGTGCTCACATTTGTTGCCCGTGCCTGAGTACCGTCTCAGGGGACTCGGTCTGAACGCACTATAATAAACTTTACAAACGAAATAAAACAAACTTTGTACATTGAATGATTACTGATAACTTTTAAAAAGCAGCTTTGCTATACTGGGACCAACAATCTGATTCTGTAACCTTCTTCCCCCCTCCCCCATTTTCTAACCTCTCCTTGGCCCCTGCATGATGATATCTGCATCATTAAGTAAAATATTTCATAAATTCATACCTTGTAAATTGAACACGGGCATCATCAGAAGAAATGTCAAGCGAAACATTTTCAAGCCACGATGATTTTCAATGATACAGTTTGAAATCTGTCGACAATATCAAACATATTACATAATTACACGCAGAACAGCAACGGACTCACATTTCCTGGCAGTAGCTGAAATTGTCATGCAAGCCCCACTATCTATACCTATATCAATACCACCTTTTTCTTTCGGTATACGTAAATGATATAATCACAGATCTCATGTAGAGATGATTGTTTTTTTCTCGCTCACGGCAAACAGAACAGTTACATATTCAATTTACGAAAGACGTCGAGGGAAACTGAGCTCCTTCTTACAAACTACAAAACACACTCCACCAAGAACCGACACATGTGGATCTAATACTCGACTAATCATCTAAACAAATCTACATCATACAAAGCTACCATACAGAACATTACGAGACGAGCACAATACCTTTGAACGAAATCATCGAACGATTTTCACCACGAAAATAAATGAAACAAACACAAAGAATGACACCATAAACACAGCATTCGGAAATAATAGCAGTCAACAAACAGAATTAGACCATTAATCAAATGACAAGGAAAGCAACGTTAACGTACGTCCAAGCTAGGTGAACTATGTCTGAGAGAATCTCACGTATATATGATGGTCATAAAAAGAACATACGTGTCACACATAAACGGAAAACAACCAGACGAGCAACAAGGCGAAGTTTACAAAATAAAATACCCCCTACTATAGCTAGGCCACCTACCTCGACACACTAAAGATAAACAACCAGACGAGCAACAAGGCGAAGTTTACAAAAAAAAATACCCTCGACTATAGCTAGGCCACCTTCCTCGACACACTAAAGATAAACAACCAGACGAGCAACAAAGCGAAGTTTACAAAAAATACCCTCGACTATAGCTAGGCCACCCACCTCGACACACTAAAGATAAACAACCAGACGAGCAACAAGGCGAAGTTTAAAAATAAAATACTCCCCGACTATAGCTAGGCCACCTACCTCGACACACTAAAGATAAACAACCAGACGAGCAACAAGGCGAAGTTTACAAAATAAAATACCCCGACTATAGCTAGGCCACCCACCTCGACACACTAAAGATAAACAACCAGACGAGCAACAAGGCGAAGTTTACAAAAAAAAATACCCCCGACCTCGACACACTAAATATAAACAATCTACAAATACAAAAGATATAACAACCAAATGGCTCAACATCACCAACGAACAAAATATAATATTTACTACAACACATAACGGTGCATGCATAACGGTGCTGTAGCAACGACTAAAGTGTACAGACTACGATTTATTACATGTACTATACAGAATATTATACATACGTTTTATGTATAAGAAATTTGTCTTACCAACACAGCAAAACCGTTGAATCGATCAAAACATTTATACAAATGTCACAATTTCAAACAAACGAGCAAATAATAAGTACACACTTGAAAATAAACGGAAAATAGACAACAACCATAACATCGGACACCCACATATTTCCTGTAAATACAATATTATGACTTTAAGGTGCCCTGTCAAAAAATGAAACTCACACATATGAATCTTTGTAATATGTACATAATGAAAATGGAAATCAGAATTAAATTAAAACGATTTTGCCGAGTTATTGCGGTATGAATTGCAAAATTTTCAAATTTTAACGGCAAAAGTTTTTTAAAATCGCGAAGTCGGACACCTGGTAACTAATACGTCACAGTAGGAACCGGTTCGCATCTCAGCTTGTTTACAAATAGTAAAAATTATTGTACAAAGGTCGATATTTACAATCAAAACTCGCTCAATTTTTCTAATAATGTCCTCATCGAACTCAGACACGGAAAGTACTAGCTACCAAACAGACGACTCTGATTGGAATTATTATCCCGGGATATTCGATATAAAAAAGACAAGTGAAGCGTCCGCTACTAAAGACGACAAAAGCGCAGATGACAACGCAGACGTTGGCCCATACAGCAATGAACCAGTTGCTGATGAAGAATGGCTTTCTAACTACCGTGGAAGAAAACAAAAATATGATGACCGTTTGAAAGAACTTCAACGTAGACTTGACGGCGAAGAGAAATATAACCAATGGTAATTATTTGATGGTTTTGTAATATAATTCATCGGGATTTCTTTTAAATGAAATTTACAGTACAGAGCTTCTTTATTAAGTTTTGAAAATAACGTTTTAAGGTGTAAATGTGGCAATTGTCGAGTTGAGCTTCTTCACAATGTTAAAGAGTGTCAGTGTTGCACGGAAATAGAAGAGTGCGAACAAGCACTGAATAGCGAACTCGTTTTGCAAGAGCTCAACACTGAGAATCCTCCGACTTGCATTGTCAACCATCCTGGTTTTCATAGCCTGTGCTTAGACAAGTGGTCACTTCGTCTAGCAGCTGCAAAGTTACGTACTAAGAAAAGCAGGAGTACCGTCAAACAAGCACAGAAGATAAGTAAGTGCATTATTACTTTGAGATTCAGCTCTGTGCTGAATGAAATCTTCGTCATTCAGTATATTGCACTGAACACCTACATAATAATAAACAAATCGAACAAGTTAATTTAAAAAAGTTTCATAAAATTATCATTTAACATAAAATGTCTTCTTTTAATTCTATTGCGTGAGTTTAGCAATACAGCTATAATAACCGGCACCACGGCTGATAAATGCCGGAAATATTATACGGGTTTCCCTGTAGTGAAAACACGAAACGTGCGCAGTACTTATGTGCCAAACACGATACCTTTAGAACGTTTGGCTTCATCGTATTTTGCTTTCAGAGCTACATATTTGTTCCATGTTTTCCTTTTCTCTTTCAGTAGGTACGCACAACCAACACAACCATCTGTCTGAGTCAAAGCGCTGTTTGTCTAAAAGAAAAAGTCTTTCTTAAAATGTATGCATAATGTCAGTAGGGGTCAACATATGTTTTGACAGAAAAGCTCACGAATGGCAAGTCAAATTGTAAGATCGCACTATACTAGCAGGAATAAAGGTATATACTATATACTTTGCTGCAAGGAACATCGCTTGGTATCTCTTCATCCACATTTAATTCCATTGGCACGCAGTGTTCGAAATCCTCTGGCTCTTCTTCTGATTCTCCTGGTCGAGACAAACTTGTGGACAATGCTTCCTTTAAAACCTTTCGAAAATGTCAACAAATTTATGTACAAAACAGTGATTCTCAAAATAGGTTCATGTGTATTTTACTGTATTTACCATGTTTTAAAAGCGTGCGTTAATCTCTTGAAATGGAATGAATAAACTTACCCTTCTCTTGGCTCTTGCTGACGGGGGACATTCAGCTGCAATATTATATTTAGGGACTGCCACGACGCCAATCTCATCGGTAGCTAATCTAGGTACTTTAGCCGACAGACCAGAAAACATTTGGGAAAAATCTTCTTTTGCGAAATGCGCTGAGCAAATACTGGAATTAGGTGTTGGATCCCATTTTGCCCGTTTCAACCGTACGAAATCAATCCATTGTTTACGTCTTATTTTGGCTTCTGGCCTTTCATCTCCGGAAACGGTATGAAATGAAGCGAGACTCCTTTTTTTACATTAGAGACATTAGAGCAACCAGCCACAATACATCTATTTGGCATTTTCTATTTTGCGTGACTTTTTCGGGCCGCCAACTACAGTACAAGAACACTTCGACAATACACGCTCTAATGTTTTCGTGGATCAATAGGCCTGACCGGATCCTACTGTGACGTCACTAGACTGATTTGGTATCAATCTCTTATGTGCGGTTTTCGAATTTTTACTTCTCAAAATTCTATGTTCAAATGACTATAATTTCTGCACTAAATTCAGAATCGAAATTCGATTTTCAAATAACGCATGTACGTATTACAAAGATTCATATATGTGAGTTTCATTTTTTTGACAGGGGCACTTTAAACCATACGAAAGAAGCATGAAATGTGGCGAAACCTGACGTTTATGAAATGATTATCGCTAGATTTCGTTCAAGTTAAATCAGTTGTGCGACTGTGTAACCTTTCCTGTTAAAATATGAGTTACTCAAAATTCAAATCAATCATAAAACTTGAATCACTATCGCATTCCACTTTTATAAAACAAAATTGCGATAAAGCAAGTTTTATGATTTAAAATTTTCATAAAGCAATTTACTTATGAAGCTGCAGCTACACTATAAGTTTAACTATATAATAAACATGATTGAATTAAATAGTTATGTTTTATATCATTATGACACGGATTATGATTGATATACGACAGTAAATACTTCTTACGGCAGCAAACTTTGACAACAGGACAGTACTAATCTGGATGATTTCGTTTTAAAAATACATAAGGACACACATCAATGGATTTTATTTGAAAATAAGAACTTTTAATAATGTCCGACACGATGGGGAAACGTACATTTAAAGTTTCATAAGCAATTAATACAGTACAGCTGGCACAAAGTAAAATGAAAGTATTTAAAATAGACTAATAGTATACACATTCTGCTTTACATAGCTGGCGTCATAGAACCTATAACTGCTCGTTTATGACGCAGGCTCTTCTTTAAGAGTTGCTTAGGAAAAGCAAAATGAAATTGCAAAAGTTTAATTAAATGTGTATTTCTCTCAAACCTTTTCCAGAGGCAGGCATCAAGCTTATTAAAAACAATGGGTTTATTTTGCTTAAGTCTTGTTGCCGTGTTTATATAATCTAAAACACTTTAAGTTCGATTGATTTCTGTGTTGTTCATTAAAGACTGAAGTTGTGTTCGAATTGCTTGTAAAAACACGTCCATACTTTGATAGTTACGTAGTCGCAAAGCTTCATCAGCCTAAAAGCAATAAAAACAAAAAAACAATGAACAGGATTTAAACGAGGTTTTACAATGTAATAATACACTATAGTCATTACGTATCAGATCAGGGGCCGGTTGTATAAAAACGTAGTTAACTTTAACTACAGTTAGCGCTAACTACCGTAGTTAACTCCTTAACTGTAAGACAATGTCAGCGAGTTATGTGCACTAATCTTAAAGAAGTGGCTCTATCTCAATTGAGAGTCTCGCTTATGAGTTGCAAAGAGCTAACGGACGCAAGGAAAGATAATACAAAATGCAATTGCTCTTGTGTAAAAAAGGATTTGTTACGTGGATAAATTGTTGGCTGTTTTTCGTCAGCAAAACTTGGGATGTTTTACAGCACTGACGAATGTAGTACATTGTCCATAAAGCTCTTATTCTAAAAGCCTTTGCCATGGAAGATACATATGTGATTAAAAACTCAAGGTAAAACCTTGTTGATCAACAACATCTCGCCCATAATTGTCTTTGAGAAGGTAAGCCGCCATATTTAACTGTGTTTTGAAAAGTTAACTATGCTCCATAGCATTGTTAACTTTAACTACCTTTTAACTGCATTTAGCGCTAACTACTTTTTTATACAACTGACTTAACCGCGTGGTTAAATTTAACTACTTTTTAACTGCAAAAAGTGTAGTTAAAAAGTAGTTAAGAGCTTTATACAACCGGCCCCAGTAATTTATTCTAACCAGAGCAAATTTAGAAGAGGAATTCGGCAACACTGGGCGTTAGGAATCACGTGTAAAAAAATAGTAACACGTGACCAATATCCCAGCTTTAACAATACAACAACGGCATTTTAGGGCAGTTACATGATAATGCAAAATATAAATCGGACTACTTGCTCAAGCAAATGCTACTCCGTGAGCAGAGATACTTTGTTTGCAAAATGAAATTATAAAATAAAGCAATACTTACTTTTTCTTTTTCTTTTGCATATTCTTTCATTTCTTCTTTCAATTGGTCTTTAATAACAACAGCTGCATGACGTGATTTTCGCGTTCTTCGACCATTGTTTCATTCAAATTGCTCTAAATAAACAAAAATATTTATAAATTTGTTTGTTTGTAGGGAGCTAAACATATATCTTGAATGGGTAGCTCTGTCTGGAGAGATATGTGTTAATAGATAATGTATACAGATGTATACATGTTGATAGATGTATGTATACAGATGTATTCTGGCAGATATTAATGTATACAGATGAATGTTGATCCATGGATGTATACAGATGTAGCTATGTTGGTCGATGGATGTATAAAGATTCATGAATAGAGATTTGTGTTATTAGGTAGCTATAAACAGATCTGTTTTTATGTAGATGGATGTACAGTGGTGTATGTTTGTAGATGGGTGTAAAGAGATGTCTTTAAACTCAAACATTATTTATATACAGTCACCATACATCTTTGTATATCAACATACATTACGTACATCATGGTATATCATGGTATATCATTGTATATCTATCGAAGCACATGTAAATTAACCTTAGCTTCTTCTTTCTGATCTTCAACAAACTTTGAAATCAAATTTTTCGTTTCCTTTCTTTCCTGACAAAGATTTTCTTCAAATTGTTTCTATAAAATGGAAAAAAAACAAAACCGCGTTGGATGGACTTTCGTTAAAGTACATATATTACATTTAGGAAGGGTTGCCCAACCATGAATATTAAAAATAAACATATTTCTAATACACATGTATCGACTTAGGCACCTTACATACGACATGATAATATAGCAGACAATAATCAATCGACTGCCTTTAAAATATCACAAAGGCAGCGATCTTTCTTGTACGTATAATTTAAAAATACACATCCCAAGAAACTGCATCTTACCTTTACTGAAGAGATCATAGACTCAAACTCTTTCTTCTGATTGAGTAGCAATTCGTCAGCGGCAGCAACCCCGCGGGCGCGTTCTTCCTATATTACGATACGCCATGTAAAATAAAGATACATTATACCATGAGATGTAAAGTCTTAACTTCAGTTACAAATATTCTAAATTATACAAACCTCTAAGGCCTTTTCGAGCAGTTCTTGATTTTTCTTTCTCTCCTCTTCAAGACAATCGTTCAATTTTTTCTATTGATTATAAAATCATTTTCAAAAATTAATCCATCTACTTGAATGAAGTAATTACATGTATGAAGAATCATTATTCGCAAAACAAAGCACAATAGTCTTTCCGAAATGAGGACGACGAAATTCACCAATGAGAAATAAGGGTTAGAATCGCATAGATGGTCGAACTACGATTTATAGTTAATCTTTAAGTAAAAAACAGACGAACCATGAATTTGAGCGACTTTGCCTAAGAGTTATTGTTCTTTTTCTCAATAATGCTGTATAGTTATACTAGCTACAGCCTAGAATTCTAACCTCATATTTCGCCTTTTGTTCTTCTAAAGCATCTTCAATTTTATGCAATCCTTTCGTTTGTTCCTCGACAACCATAAGTTTCAAAGTTTCGCCCTACAGTCACAAGAAATGAGATTAATGTTAACAACGTTTCAAAAGCATCAAAGATCAAATCTTAAGATGCATCAAGGAACCTTCATGATCAAGTACGGGCCGAAATGTGACTCCGCTCCGGTATAAAAGAAAAAAGTAGACTTAAATTTGTAGTGCAGTTTTTAAGAACATTTATTATTACAGCTTTATGCAGTATAATGAAAGCTACATATATCTTTAATGCATTTGTTCTCTTTTTTACGTCAAATCCCGTGTTAGGTCACCTGCTTCTAGGCAACAAAAACTCTTCAATAAAGTAAATGGTTTGAACCGGGAGTATCGTTACATGGTTGTAGATCGTCCAGGTTGGTATAGTCCTGAGAAGGACTGTTTTTGTTATTGACTGACGTTTCGACAACCTTACTGATGTTGACAACCTTACTGTTGTTGACTGACGTTTCGACAACCGTTTTGACAATCTTCGACTCTGAAGATGACTACCGCTAAGGTTGTCGAAACGTCAGTCAACAAGAACAAAAACAGTCCTTCTCAGGACTATACCAACCTGGACGATCTACATTTACAAACATGTAACGACACTCCCGGGTTCAAACCATTTACTTTAAAAACTCGTCAAGATAAAATTTTCGCCAAGTCAAATCTCAAATTCGATTCTACTACCTAAAGAAGCAGTTTCCCTGTCGTTGATACAGGCGCTTTGATAAGATGGGTTAGAGTGCATTCAAACATAATGATCTATTTTGAAAACAGTGGATGGCGCTGTAACTCATGCTAAGTAAAGGACGTAGTTCAACGAGTTCAAAAAATTTTAAATTAAAAGAATACCATCACTTCTTCGAAATTTCGAACACAGCAGAAAGTAATGTTCACAATTCACACTCAACAAAGACAATGATTGTGTGCACGTTTTTCGTGGGACGATCAATCACCTGATGCTTGATGAATTCCGTAAATTTATCTCTCTCTTCAAGTATTTTATGTAAATGTTTCTCATTTCTCTCGCGTTCCTGTGATACAGCTGTTGTCGATAATGCCTTTCAAAATAAAGACGCAATTGAAAATAAATAACAAGCCATTTTCTACGAAAGCACTTGACAAAATATCGAGATGATTATTGCACGTTAAATCAATCAATACTTGTCGGAAAAAGGAAATTTAAACCTTGTATTCTTGAACTATTAGAGCAAATGACTCTTGTCCAGCTTCCCTCAGTTTCTTAACTTTTTCCTCGTGTTCGTCCTAACAGAAATCACATTTAAACATTTGAGCACAACATACGTAAAAGAAAGAATGCACACTATATAATAAGTATATTAACAGGTAGAGTAGAGCTGTTGAATGATATGAAAATCTCACCTGCAACTGATCGTACATTTCTTTCTGTTTTGTAATTCAAGATACTGATCTTTTGCTAGCTGCGTGGCTTCGGTATACTTAGCTTTCATTTCTTCCATGTTCTTCCATATAAAACCAAATGTATTAGTAACATAACATGGATATTTATTTTAATCACTTAATGGTAAACAGTTATTTTACAAGTCTTAATAAACCTTCAGTGAAACTCTGCAATACTGTCAATGAAAAAGCACTATTTAAAGGCACAAAAAATGTTTGTAAAACACGTGTAATATAATATTGTGCGAGGAAAATTACTCGACCACAATCAAAGTTAAATCATTTAATAATAATTTCTAATTGCAATATATTCCATTTATTTAGTAAAGAAAGTACTACTTGAAACCATTTTTCCTATTTTACCAAGAGTTACGGATATGTAACTTATGCAACTTACATACACATGGTTATGCTGTAACATTGCCCTACTTACGTATGTAGACAAAAAATACTACATACAGGCATTTTTCTTAAAGCATGAGATGGCAACCTACCTTTTCCAATCTGATTTTTTCTCTTTCTGCAAGAGATAACTTCTCTTCGGATATCTGTAATTTTTCTTCATAATCATTTACTTTACTTTTTGTTTCTTCTAATTCAACTTTAACATTTTTTAGTTCAGCTTCATGAACAGCACTGCGACTATCCCCAGTTCTTTCTCTGCTTGGCAATGGTGGGGCTGATTGGCTTACTTGTACATTACTTGATGTCATTAACACCTCATTCAATGGAAACTCAGTTCTTTGAGGCAAAGGCGGACCCTCGGCTGAAACCTTTTGTTTTATGCTAGAGATGTCTGAAGGTTGTGCTTGAACAAGACTTGTTTGTAACTGAGAGTCTATTTTACTTGAAAAATCTTGTGTTACTCGGTTACCTAAAGAGCTACTTTGAGGTGCAAATCCTTGACCTGGGTCAGCAATTTTGGAATTAGAGGGATTGTTTTGAAATGAAGGTATATTGGTAGCACTAGATTTGAGTACAGCATAGTCACCCCCATCATTAAATACAGCAGAATTAATTGGCTGGCTGTTGACAGAAGAATTGTTGGATTGTTGAGACGATGTTGCAGGAAATACTGTAGCCCAAGGAATTGTAGCAGATGCAGAAGAATTGCCAAATATATTGGATGCCGGTGATGCAGACTAAAATGCATAATAAAGAACATGGTTGAGTAAAAACAAGAGAAATAAAAGATGCAGAACACTAAAGACGATGCTACCTAAGTTCAAACAAATATCATACTTAGCTTTTACCAATTATGTCTGGTTAAATTCAAAGGTAGGAGTATATCACATGACTAACATAGTGATCACATCGTCAATATTTTAATTAATTTGGACAGCGAACATTGAAGTAGCACAGAACCTACTTATGTACTAATTAGCAATAGCACAGGCAAGACCATAGCCAGATCGATAACTGGGGGGGGGGAATATTTGTATATTCATGTTCTTCCATAACAACTTCCTTTAAGATCTGCCGATTATAGCATGCATATACAAAGATTCTCTGCCCCCCAAAAAAATTATCGAGGTTAATACAACACTGACCACAGGCAACAACAAAACATGCTTTAGTTTTATGAATAAAAGATTTTTGCTATTTGATAGATTGATGATATTCTTGAGCATCCTCATTGTACTAAGTGTAAATGAACATCCTTGATGATGTAAATCTTGGATGTGAATTAATGAAGTAGTTTTATGTCTCTTGTCACATGTATGAACGTTATTATTAAATCAACTAATAATGGTTAATAATTATAAACAAAAAAGTTAATAAACTAATGAATTGTATAAAGTCTATATGTACTTATAGTGATTTGCGGAACTTGAACTAGGTCAATTTAGTTTGAAAAGGAGTTCATTGCTTTAAAGGTTATCACAGACATTCTCACTCAAATTTTCATTGAGAAATTTCACAACTTATGACGTAGTGTTTGACTGTGATTGTTGTACATGTTTTGATGTGTATATTAGAAATAAACAAATCTCAGTTAACAATAAAATATTACCAATATGACTACAGTTTTCATAGATATGTACTTACCTCAAAGCCACCAAAATCTGCCCAATCATCATCTCCATTCTATAAGAAATATTATACTAAATGTTAAATATTAAATTTTGCAATACGAAGGTTAATTTGATGGTTATATTCAACATTTCTTCGTGCAGTTATAAAACCACAGAAAGAAAGATAGATCACGTAAATAACAGAAAAATACGATTTCGAGGGAATTATGTTTTTAAAACTACTCATGTGTAAATAAAATTTATTTCTCTCATGAAATAGTACGTTTTTATTTTCTTTGGAGTCTCGTTTGTCATTTACTGAAGCTTATCAAAATTACACCAAAATTATACTTGAATACCTGATTGTTGCCACTTTCTGATGTATTGAAAGCATTCCAATTGTTGTCCGCCATTTGAAATGTATAAACGAATTAATAATAACATTGAAAAAACATTTCCTGTTTTTATGTCTTTCATCTATTGAATATTTATCTTTACTAGAGGTTGCCCAGGATTATAGTGCTGCCAGAAGAGCCAATATACGTGTGTGTTTATATTTCCATGATTCCGTGATACAAAAGTACTAGTACTAAAAAAATAGCGTTTTTAAAATCTTTATCGAAAATAATAATCGAGTGGATGCCTTATTGTACAGGATCAAATGGATTAGGTACTCTGTAGAGTCAAAAATTTGCTACCAATCTTGACATAAAGGTTTTCTACACAACAAAATATTTGCATGCGTTAAGCTCAGCTTGGAAAATTGACAATGATGACTTGAATCAGCTTTTTATAATGAATGGAGTGCAAAAAGTACTATATAGATGACTTGACTAATGACACCAGAAATGAACGTGAATATTAGATTTTCCTTGACATGAAATGTTGAATGATGATTAAAACATGAAAGTCGAAACTGAAACAACAGTATTGGATAACACCAAACAGGAACAATAACGATTGAGAATTATTTGTATAGTGGAAATTATATTTGGGACACCCGTAGCATCACATTGGCTTTACTTTAAGAAATACAACAGATTATGACTGCAGAGTACCAAAGTACAGGTCTTGGCTTGTAATGACGTAGTATCACATATTCACACTAATATTGTTAGTCACAGGTAATAGTTTCTACTTATGGGATTTTAAAATACATTCTAGCTCAAAGTATTAAGTAAATTGGAACAATCCAGTTCATATTCGATAACGTAGAAATAATGGAGAAGGTATGGCTCAACCAATCACAGAATAACGTGTAATTATTGTGCTAAACTACACACTATCGCTAAGTCCTACAGAAGTACGAGTAACCATTTATACCAAGTCTGCAGGGGGGAAGTAAGCACATGCAAACACAACCAAAAAATATTAAACAAAAACACTCGACTAAGTATGTGAGAATGAAGAGCATTTACCGTGAATGTTGTGATTAATGCATAATGCAAATCTCAAGTACTGTATTAATTTTAATTGCGTTTGCACCTCCCTACGGGAATTAGCTAGTTTTTCCTGAATCATTCAATTATTAAACGTTTGTGATTTCAAAGACTTGCAGATTCTTAGGCCTTGTCCAAACGTCGAACTTTACATGAACCGAACGGATTTAAAACAAAAGATAATCAGGAAGTTCATCTCATTTTCTTTTGTCTTTAATGCGTTCGTTGCATGCAAAGTTCACGTTTGAAACAGGCCTAAATCAATCATTAAAAAATGGTAAGTTTAAGTAAGAACAATGATTGGCACACAGTACCAGCGTCAATTTATCGTCTATAACAAATAACGATATTCCCTAGTCACATTAAATATTTTATTATGTATAACATATACGTCATCAGACTGGTTTTTAAAGACGTGAATTTGCAAGTTACACCCAAACTGGTAGATGGTGTGAAATGCAATGTGACTTTTAAAGTTTTCTGGTTTAAAATTTGACATTTAACTTTGCCACCGTAGAAGCAATATAACCCATACTTTGGCTGGTTACAAGGTGAGCAACTTTGATTGTAGAAAAGCGAATCATACAAAAAATTCTTTAAGCAATTTACGAAAAGCCACGTGACTCAACATGTACGTTTGATCATTTTAAAGTGCTTTTAAATTTAACCGTGCTTGTTTTTCATACGAGTACAAATAATTTTCCTTGAGCATTCTTTATGCCTTTGATTGCGAAGACTTATAACGTGCGGAGTCGAAATTGAACTTATGGTTTACGGTTTCTGATTCTGTTGAATATAAACCATTTTGCTATGTGAATACTTTAAGCACAAGGACATTTTGATAGCGTACATACTGCAATAGAATCGCATTACAACCTATACAGCAATTTTTCATGGGAAAGTCAGAAGAAACTTGTTAATGTTTAGGCTTGTGATATGAAACTTGCATGAAAGTGTGCTTCGATTCTCACTCGAGGCAACAAAGGGATGAGAAATAGCTCCCTATTTATTTTCAATTCATTTTCTTGAAACAGATAATCAAGCGAGTCAATTTTTTTAAGATGAACAACAATGAAGTATAGTTGTCGCTAATTAATGATAAATATAGTTTTCATTTAAAAATATAACGCCTATGTCGATGTTGAAATGTATACAGAAATATTTCACACAGAAATGCTGCATATAAGAGTCAAATCCAACTAAAGGTCAACTACTTTAAGTAGGAGATCACCAATTCATCTATACATGTTTGTGATCGAAGTAAAAATTATAAATTTCATTTTTTAATTCTTTCGGTCATAAAGAGAGTTTTAAGAAAGAAAATATCCTTTATTCCTACATGACATAAATTTTTATAATTTTAGCCAATCAAAGCTTGAAGAAATATACATTCAGTCACTACACAGCATTGAGTATATGCCAATGAAGTCAATACAGCATGTTCTTGGCTCAAAGACGTTTGAACTTATCATGCACACCAGATCTGACAATTTCCTGAAAGTGAAAGGTAAGCTGTTTAAGATTAAACTAAACAAGTGAAAATATTTCAATTTCTACAAAGACGCCAGCAGCACGTAAATTTGATAGTTACGTATTCCTTTCTCCTTAACCCTTTTGTGTTTCTGGGCTGGTTCATTTGTGTGTCAGCTTGGTTTTGAATTTGTAACTTCCTTAATGGTATGAAGAGGATAAAAATTTGACATTGTTTTCGAAAAAATAACGTTAGGTAGTGGCTAGGTTGCCTTAGAAAATTCTGGCTAACTCAATCAGTAAGCACCGGAGAACTGCATTGCTTAAAATACTGTCATAGCTACCGAGCGAGATACATTGCTGTAGTAGAAATGACGTATAGCAACGATGCTGTCTTTATTAGTGATTTGTTTTTATTTAGTATTACTGTAACTCGTTCCATGTCTTTAACTGTAAAGATGTGTTTCATGTTAATGCTATCGAATATTTTCATTCCTTATAGACAAGAATATCTCTGGATTTCTTAAAAACCTATTCAATAAAAGCTCAGATCCCTTTCAACGAAATGAAATCTTACTAGAAAAATATGGTACAACAGAAAGAAGTAATAGTGGCTACGAAGAAAATGATGTCAAATGGTAAGATATGGCAGAATATAATGTAAATTTCTATTCCCTTTTTTATAGCAAATTTCTAATGATTTCCTAGTATTATGTCTAAATCTTTTAACAAACTTCTTCCCTTTAGAGGAAAAAGTGATTTTTCTTCGTTTTCTCAACGAGCAGTTGTAAAGAGCAGAGCAAAATTGCCAATCGCAAAACGACAACTATTCGAAAGCATTCAAACAGAAAGATGTTAAATGAAATCAGAAATTAAGGTAGGAAACTCACAATTGACCTTCTAAGCTTGCCTTGACTTTGCAATGTAATGTGAAGCTGAATATTTATTGCTCTATGCAAAGACAATTTGAAACTTTAGATAATTCAACCAAAATTGTGTGAAGAAATACGATATTCATTACGCCAAATTTAAATTAACAGGAAGATCGGTTGAAAGGGACAATGAAACTAAGAGCATTTATTGTGATTAATTTGTGCACACATGAAAAAGAAACTAAATTCATTTTAAAAAACGAAATTAATATTTCACTAATCAATTTTTACAATTAAATTTATCATTTTACAATATAACAGAACGTAGCAATCACTATAGGGTAATGTGTTATAGTAATTTATATATGTCTTGTCGTTGTCCAAACATCTGCTGCCTTAAGCCTTTGCTAGAATGCTTGCATGGTTAGACATAAATTCGTAAGTCATAAATGTTGTAAACATTGTAACTACCATCGCAAACATCTCAAGGGAAAGATGAATTGTATACTATCGTTTTACAAGACACAAGCCTGCAAAAGGACATGAAGAAGAAAATAAAAGAGCAAGATAATGACTTAGGTAGAACGAACGGATTGAATGAGAGTTTTTTTGGTGAACGTGAGAGCGATAGGTGGTTTCTATTTGCTCAGAGTGGTGACTTCAAAGTCACGGGACAGGACATTTTTCTTGTGGTTTTGGTCTTAGCTTTTTCTGTGTGAAAATAAGTCCAATCTTTATTCCACATTGTTGGTAGCGAGTGCAACATCTTCTAATGGGTGATACCTTGTTTGGATGCTACATCGATTCGTGCTAGCGCTGCGCCGTTTGTTGCTTGCGTGCTTCACCGATTAATTCTTGCGAGTGCAGCGTCGTTATTTGCGTGCTCACCGATTCTTGCGAGCGAAGCGTCTTTCGTTGCGCATCTTTGCTTCATTGTTTCTTGCAAATGCAACGTCGTTTGTTTCCTGGGTGCTTTGTCCATTCTTTGGACTTCAACGTTAAACAACTTCTTACTTAGGCATGGTTCAGTGTTTCTTTCGCATTTTCAAGTGTGGGGTGAGATAGAATAAATAGAATTAGCTATATCAGACAGAGGGCCAATCATTAAGAAGAGTGTGGAAAGAAAAGGACATTATTCAAAAATGAAGATGACAGAGGACAGTCTTGTCAAGAACAACATTGATGAATTAATTCAAGAGAAAACTTCATTTCCTTTATTATTATTGTAAATAAATAGTTCCATACTCCATAGCTCTCTAGGACTTCAAAGGCTTTACATTGCAGATGTTGTAAATTTGTTTTGTATTGTGTTTACTCCTCATGTTTAATGTATAAGCTCGTCTTAAAACCTTAACTTTCCATTCATCGAATAACTATTTAATGACAAAACCAAAGTTACTTAAGGTATAAAGGTACTTCACGTATAAAGGTACTTCACGTATAAAGGTACTTAACGTATAAAGGTACTTAACGTATAAAGGCCCTTAATTCTAAATTGGAAAATTTTCGACCATGTGTGCACAAATAAGTCACTTAAATGCTGCAGTTGGCGCAAACGACTCAGTGAAAGGTGGCAAGTAAGAGAAAAGTCGTAGAAAAGCTGGACTGAACAGCAAGTGAATTGATACTGCGCCATAAGAACTGCATTTTATTTACACTTACTCCGTCATGAAGTCTACATCGAAGTAATACC